GAGTGGGTGCCCGCTAGCTTCACTTGCCCTGTCGGTCCGTAGAGGTTATACAGGGGATCTTTGTTTTGAGTGTGTGTGTATCTACACACGTACAGTAATATGTGTATTCACATGTGAGACATGGGTGGAGGGGTAAGAGTACACGTCGTGTGTCACGTGCCTGTGGGAACACGTGTGAGAGAGTGCGTGAGAGTGTCACAGAGAGAGAATGTACGCGAGAGAGTGTGAGTGAGATAGCGCACGTGAGGAGTGTGAGGGAGCGAGAGAGTGTGTGTGAGAGAGAGTGCACGTGGGGAGTGTGAGAGAGTGTGAGAGAGAACGAGAGAGTGTGTGTGTGAGAGAGTTGCACGTGGGGAGTGTGAGAGAGTGTGAGAGAGAACGAGAGAGAGAGAGTGTGAGATAGCGCACGTGAGGAGTGTGAGGGAGTGTGGGAGAGAACGAGAGAGAGTGTGAGAGAGTGCACGTGGGGAGTGGTGAGAGTGTGAGAGAGAACGAGAGAGTGTGTGTGTGAGAGAGTTGCACGTGAGGAGTGTGAGGGAGTGTGGGAGAGAACGAGAGAGAGAGTGTGAGATAGCGCACGTGAGGAGTGTGAGGGAGTGTGGGAGAGAACGAGAGAGAGTGTGAGAGAGTGCACGTGGGGAGTGTGAGGGAGTGTGGGAGAGAACGAGAGAGAGAAAGAGTGTGAGTGAGATAGCGCACGTAAGGAGTGTGAGGGAGCGAGAGAGTGTGTGTGGGAGAGCGCACGTGGGGAGTGTGAGAGAGTGTGTGAGAGAACGAGAGAGAGTGTGAGAGAGTGCACGTGGGGAGTGTGAGAAAGTGTGGGAGAGAACGAGAGAGTGTGAGAGAGTGTGAGAGAGTGTGAAAGAGAACGAGAGAGAGAGTGTGGGAGTGCACGTGGGGAGTGAGAGAGAGAACGAGAGAGTGTGAGAGAGCGCACGTGGGGAGTGTGAGAGAGTGTGAGAGAGAACGAGAGAGTGTGAGAGTGCACGTGGGGAGTGTGAGAGAGTGTGGGAGAGAACGAGAGAGTGTGAGAGAGTGCACGTGGGGAGTGTGAGAGAGTGTGAGAGAGAACGAGAGAGTGTGAGAGTGTGTGAGAGAACGAGAGAGTGTGAGAGAGTGCACGTGGGGAGTGTGAGAGAGTGTGAGAGAGAACGAGAGAGTGTGAGAGTGTGTGTGAGAGAACGAGATAGAGAGAGTGTGAGAGAGCGCACGTGGGGAGTGTGAGAGAGTGTGAGAGAGTGTGAGAGAGAGCGAAAGAGTGTGAGAGTGCACGTGGGGAGTGTGAGAGAGAACGAGAGAGTGTGAGAGAGCGCACGTGGGGAGTGTGAGAGAGTGTGAGAGAGAACGAGAGAGTGTGAGAGAGCGCACGTGGGGAGTGTGAGAGTGTGGGAGAGAACGAGGTAGATAGTGTGAGTGAGAGCCCGCACGTGGGGAGGGTGAGAGAGAGAGCGAACACGTGTCATCCCCGATGACCGCTGAAGTCTCATGACGCAGATTGGATGGTGAGTGAGAGTGTTGTTGTATCCACCACGTGCGTGGTGGTGGATACAACCCGACGAACTGAGTTCGAATCTCGCTCACGGCGAACCAAGGGTGGGAAAAACCCGATTTGTTTTTGCCCGACAAATCGGGTTATTAGTTTCAATGGAATTAAACTCGATTTTGCCGATTAAAACCTGGTTTTATTATCGGCGTCTCGTGCACATTTCAATCCTGCTCATCGCCGCTGGACTCGGTGTTGTCGCCGTTCGTCGGGCGTCGGGTAGTCGTGGAACGCGTTGACGTTCGACTCAATGAAGACGAGCTTCTCGACTTGTGTCGGGCGCCAGGCTGTTCCTCAACTTGGAATGGGATCAATCCCCCAGCGTCGAGAAGTTTCACTCAGACGCAGCAGCAGGCGGGCGGTCGACGTGGCCATGCTGAACCAGTTTGATGGCTGATCTTCTGGAGCGCGGGATAGTCGCTGCCGTCGGTCAGCCACCCGCTCTGGCGAAGGGGTCTTCCTCCGCTTGGCCAGGAGCTGAAAGCGAAAGGATTTGTGTGTTCTTCTCCTTCGTCGCCGCGACCGTGAACTGTGTGTGCTCCAAGTGGAGCTGATCCTTGCGCGGATGAGCGCCGGTCCCCGGCCCGAACCCCGCTAATGGGTGGGTGCCTGCGACTGAAATCCCGACTTAACTTTAATAAAACCGGATTTGGGCAGGATCCAGGTGCTCCGGTTTTATATTTATAAAAAAACGATTAAAACCCGAATGAATAAAACCGGGCCGTGCCAGCCTTGCGGCGAACAGCAGTGACGATGCTTTGAACCGATCCTAGGTCGACTCAGCCTCAAATTAGTACCTGGTGCGGTGTGTAGTAAACATCGCCACTAACAACAGCTCTTGCTGTTACAGTCTGGTAAGGGGCCGTCCATAAATGACGTCACGCACCTGGGAGGGGGGGTGTGAGAAATGTGACGTCACATCAAAATGCGCAACTTTAAATAAATATAGACAACACCTTCTACTTAATTAAATAGACTTTCTAATAAATGTTTTCTCCTACAACATCAGAGTGCAGCGCCACATTAAATACGCACTACAATGACATAGTTTAAAGCGATTTGAAGCATGTTTTATATATATTTTGGGGGGGGGGGCAGAGCTTTGTGACGTCATTTGAGGGGGGGGTCTGACTTTTTGTGACGCCGTGTGACGATGGGGGGGGGGGGGTCAAAAATCGTCCAAAATCGCGTGACGTCATTTATGGACGGCCCCTACAGCTACAGGGGAAGCTTTGTCTCCGATGTTGTTGATGGTTCGGGTGATGGTTGTTGCGATGGGGAGAGGGAGGGAGAGAGACTGACCCAGTTTGAGAGAGTTCGTTTGATGTGGTGGATGTCTCTATGGTTACTTCATCATCTCCCCAAATCTAACGGCGCTCGCCCCCAAGCCAATAGCACAAACAGCAGCAGTGTGCAGTCACACACTCACACACACGTGTACTACACACACGTGTACTACACACACGTGTACTACACACACGTGTACTCACACACGTATACTACACACACGTGTACTACACACACGTGTACTCGCACACACGTGTACTCACACACGTGTACTACACACACGTGTACTCTTACAACACGTGTACTCACACACACACGTGCACTCTCACAACACGTGTACTCACACACATACACGTGCACTCTCACAACACGTGTACTCACACACATACACGTGCACCCTCACAACACGTGTACTCACACACATACACGTGCACTCTCACAACACGTGTACACCGCTGTCGCATTGTGGATGCACGTAGGCGCAGCTTTAGTTTGATTATAAATCTCTCTCGGAGAAATCGGCAGCCGTTTTTTTATTTTTATTTTCTTTTGAGCGCCGGAGGCGAGTGGCTGACAGAGACCCCGCCCGGTGCTGTGCGGTTTGTGCCCGCAACAGCCCCGGAGGTGAGTGCGACGTTTCGAGGAATGGGCCTCCTCCCTCTTCTTCTTCTTCTTCGAAGTGCGACGGGGACCATCGACCGAGAAGGCGCGACCCTGTTGTATAAGAACGAGAGCAACGCTCAACACGAAGTCGCCATCAACAACGCCAGCAGTCAACTATTTAATGACAGGCGGCGACGTTTCGGTTCACGGGTCCTCCTTCAAGGCGATGTTGTTCCAGCATTGCATTACAGTGTTCGTGACGAGTGTGCCGGTTTTACACATTTGACAACACAACATTGTCTAGAGTATTATTATTTTATGTAGTGCCTAAACATTACAGTGTAGACATTACAGTTCTGTGTACTGCATTGAAATGTAGTATATGCTGTTGCGTATACTGCACGTGTGTGTGTGTTATCAGGCCAATTGCTTGTAATACTGCATATGCACATCTGTAAACATCGCCACTAGGGAGACAAAGGCGGCCGGGCGTGGTGTGGTTCTGACCACACCACCCCCCTCGTGTACCATACAGACTTTAATAGATGCTCGCTCCAACACCACTTAACCCTAACACTCTGTCAAAGGCTACACGGGGGATATTTGTCTGGTTTTTGTTGTTGTTGCACATGTCACGGCAGCCTTTGTTTTGTCGATCCGCTGCTGGATGAAGGCCTCTCCCCACGCCATGTGAGTCTTGAGGGTAATGCGGTTTTAAACTTCACCACGCTGGTCGTTCATTGGAAGCATAGACGTGGGCGCAGAGTACGGTACAACAATGGATTTTGCCACACTGCTGACCACCACATCTGAGGCGACGTGCAACGTTGCACCCAACGTTGGGGCAACGTTAGAATGTTTACCGGGATATGTAACGGGCAGTGATTGTGAACACATTCGCTTTGGTGTAGAGTATTAATACGAAACGAGCTTGTTTGCCCGTCCAAGGACGGGTGTATATTGCAGTAAATCTGAAATATGTAATAGAAAAATTGTTTAAGCTCATGATTATTAATGAGGGGGGGTAGTTGCCCCATGTGGAGTGACGTTACCCGCTAATGGTTATTGGGGAGTGGTGCGGCATGTGGAGTGACGTCACCCGCTCATGATTATTAAATGTGTAAAAAAATGTTTGGCTGATTCTATATCTGTAATAATATACGACTGATAAACGTATCTTTATATTCGCACATGTTCACGAATGAAATCGACGAGAAACAAATATCCGCACGCTGTTTCCCCCCCCACCCCCACCGGCACATTACGCGCATCGAGCGGGGCACATTGTTCCATTCTTACACCTCGGACCATTGTCACGTGTGCCGACCTCTGACCCATCGGGACAATAGCTGACCCATTATGCCAACAGCGAGCACCCGTAGCGACGACGGTAATTATAGAAGAGTGGATTTTGCTCCATTAGCGGGGAAAAACGACGCAGTAAGGTAGAGGCGGGGAGGGGGCTGTTGGTGAGCCACACGGATTGTGTAACAGCAGACACTGTGACCTATATAAGATTCTAAATAAAAATCCGCGTCTCGTATCTCCACTCCCGCTCGCTGCCAAGGGCCCGCACCTTCGGGACGCGGTCACCGCCAGCGCAGGGGTCGGGGAACTTCCTGAGCCACCTCTTCGGCATCCTCTTCAGGGACCCTCCTCGCGGTCGTCCACGACGAGCGGGGCGGCCTCTGACGATGAGGCGATGACGACGGCGGCGACGGTGGCGGTGATGGGCGGGGGAGGAGTACGTGAGGAGGATGGAGGTGCGATGGCCGGACCTGCAGGTAAGAACGCCCGGTGGCACGAGGTAAAGGCGCGGCCCTGAAAGTGCTCGCTCGCGCCACTGCTGGCGAAAGGAGGCCTCCTCTCGAGGGACCGCTTGAAGCCCCCCCTTGGCAGGGAATTTGCTCTGCTCCTTCCGCTCGGATCAGACGTGAGTGCCCCCACTTTACTCGGTTACATGCGAGCTATCGATCGGCTAACTGTGGCAAACCCGATTACACTGCTGAGACAGAGGCAGTGGGGCAGGGGGAACAAAACCTCCACCAATGGTTTAACTGCCGCGCCGGGAGGTGGAATCGAACCAGCAACCTTTGAATCGCGCGTCCAGTGCGCTGCCAACCATTGCACCGCAGCAGCCACCCACACCAGTATAGAAAACTTCCACACACACGCGTGCACGAACCACACAGTTTCACACGTACGCTTTACATGTTTCGTGAGTCCAACTGAGTCGCAGACGTCGTTGCTTTTAGAGGCAACACATTTATTTGTAACACCGTAACACGAAGCGGTAACTGCCCCTTTACCAGATACAACCTAGGGCGGTGACCACCCAGCTAGCTACGCTACGCAGAGGAGTTACTGCTACGAAGGGTCGGACCCTCACTCGGGTCTCCGACCACGTGGTTCCTCGTAGGACGAAGAGCTTCCCGCTTGCAGAACGAAGAGACCCCGGTCCCTCTCAGGGACCCGCCTATATCCCTCTCCGGTCGGGGCCGCTCCGCCCTCGGCCCCGCCCGCCTTCTCGAACATTCTCGTTCCCTCTACAACCTTCTCAAGAGCTCTCCCCGGACACGTGATCACCCACTCGTCCCCCCTCCTGGGGCCCCCTGTGTGGACATCACGATCACGTGTCTACGGGGTCAACCAGAGTGCCATGGCCCGGGGCAACCCTGCCCCTGGGCTCACACTCACTCCCTCCCCCTCGGGGGAGTCCCCACCACACGCTGTGCGTGGTGCCCGCACTATCCCAGTGCTTGCCAAGCCCCGCTAGGGCTGGTACTACACACAGCCACCCACACGGTGCTGTCCACGCTAGGGCTGGTACTACACACAGCCACCCACATGGTGCTGTCCACGATGTAGGAACATCGAATGGCCACGACCCTTTCGGGCCGGCACCATACAGTGACATCCCAGATCTCACTACACATGTACGTACGCACAAGCGCACGCCATATAAATACAAAAACGCATACCCACATAGTTTCACAACCTGTATTGACTACCCACCTTCCCATCACCGCAGCACGCCCCCGTCCAATTCTAACCCCCACTTACTCTGACCCCTCACACCTGTACGGCCATGCCACCCCGGCCTGCTCCATCTCCGCCAATTAACCCAACCTCTCCCCCCCCTTCCCCGCAGTGCCGAATTCGCCTGAGGATGAATGCTGCGCTTCTCCCGCCGCTTCGGGAAGCAGTGACGCCGCGTTACCCCCGTCAGCTTCCTGCGAGTCTCGCTCCGTGTCCCAAGCGCAAGAGCAGCACCAACAGAACCAGCAGAACCAGCAGCAGAGGTGCGGAGGACGGGTTCGATCCCGGGCGCCACCGGGGATGCCCAAGCTCGTGATTCCGCACGGCGCTGCTGCCGTTGCCGCTGCTCTCTCGTTCGGCCCCCACGGGGTCGGGGGGGGCGCCGGCGGGGGAGGTGGGGAGGCGGTGGCGGGGGGCTACCCCCCCGAGATCACGGTGACCCCGCCGACCCCGACGATGCTGTCGCCACGGTGCAGCGTCTCCCAGGAGACCAAGCAGAGGCTCAAGGTGCGGGGGCGGCGCGTGTGTGAGCGTGTGTGAGCGTGTCTTTGTGGGGAGTACCGCTCGCTCACAGCACATTTGTCTTTGTGGGGAGCGGTAGTATCACGGTTAGCGCTACGCTGCGCTATGAACCCGGCCACCCGAGTTCGATTCCTGCTCACGGCCAATACAAGCGGCGATTATTTGAAGCGGTCATGGGCCTTCCCTTGGTCGACTCAGCCTCAAATGAGTACCTGGTGCGGTGTGTAGGAAACATCGCCACTGGGGAAACAAAGGCGGCCGGGCGTGGTGTTGGCTACCCACCTCCTTGTGTGCCACGCCGGCCTTCATAGGTTCCAACAGCACTTGCCCCAACAGTCTGTTCAGGCTATACGGGGGATCTGTCTTTTGTGTGTGCGTGTGTGTACGCGTGCATATTTGGGTGGAGTGGTGGTGCAGTGGTTTGCGCACTGCACTTTCATCCCGGCGACCTGATATCCCAGCCCGCCGCTAATATCAGAATGTGATTGATTGGCACCAACTGGTCCGGCCATGTGGGACTTTGTGCAGCAGCTGTGGGAACTGGCAGAGGTTAGGAAGCGTTTGGCAAGGCATGGTGGCGTTGACGGCCTTGGCCAGGATGCCATCTTGACCTTGACCTTGTCGTGTTGCCACAGAGCGCCATCCTGTCATCACAGTCGGCGGCCACCGTGCGGCGGGAAACGCTGAGCCAGCCGGCGCTCGAGCCGCCCGACACCTCCAGCCTCGAGTCGTCCTTCGAGAGCGAGTCGGACACGGACGACGAGCTGATGGACATCTAGGAGCTCCATCGTGTTCCGCGTCTCGCTGAGTTCGTGGTTTGCCCCCCCCCACCCCGACCCGTTGTTGGTGGTGGCGGTGGGAGAGAGACGTTGGAGCGATTTCGCCAAAAATCGGACAAGGCGGAGGAACGTTTTTCCACGTTAATGGTGCATGAATTAGGTCACGCCATACACACAACGGGAAACACGTTTAGACGCCTGTGGCATTACCAACCTGGAGCAGTTGTGACTTCCATCTCGTGTCCCCCCTTCTGAATGATTTTTCTTGAAATATATACAATCGGTATATTGTGACTTTAACCGGGGAGTTGATGTGGAAGGTTATGAGTTTGAACCTTAGGGCTCGACTATCTTCAACCCTCTGGTGTAACAGCAATCCCTCCGAGTGTTAACAGTTGGTGGGAAGATGACAGAGTGATTATCCTGTGGATAGACTGGTTCCCGCCAAAGGAAATCACTTGGCGCAGGGCTAGCCAAGAGAGTCGACGACCGGCCAAAGCGTGCTTGGAACAGGAAAAGCTTTGATGTGACGCGACTTTTGATGGTTAACACAAAGAGCTCCCCGTGTGTACTGTTTTGTAATCAGCCATACATTTGTGTACACATATCGGTGCTTTTCGTTGGCAGTATTTTCTAGGGGGAAGGCAGGAGTACAACAAGACAAAAAAAACACGCCTCGTGACGTGTGGCATGTAGGCTGCTTAAGCCATGACCTCGCTTCCCAAGCTCAAGCCGACCACCCGTCCAGTGGCTCCTCCCAAGTTGAGAGTCCCGTTACTGGGCCTTGAGAGGGGAGCGCTGTACGATAGCGAATAACAAACGTGCCTCTTTTCCACTGCACAAACGAGCCGTGGCGGGCGGTGGCGGGCCGTGCTGGGCCGTGCCGAACCTCCCCCGCCGATGCTCGGCTGGCCCGAACCGTGCCGCTAACGTCACACGCACGGCGAATTAGTGGACGCCCGTGTAGGTGACCCGAGTACGTTGTGTTCTCGGGTGTACTGAACGCACGCAATGCACAAGTTGAGTTGCATGTAGACGACATGGTTGGCACTGTCCTCACAGGTGTACTCACCAACATCGCATGCAATGATCAGGTAGATGACGCGGCGATGCCGTGTCGAGTTATGCCGACCGGGGTTATGCAGAAATGAACGAATCGATTAATTTGCCCCCCCCCCCCCACTTGGCTCCAGAGACTTTCATCGACGTCTCGCGAGGCTGGTGAATCAGTCTGGTTATGGCTCGGCTCGGCAAATAACCCGTGCTGCGAGAGCCCTGTGCTGGTGCGGTTTGGGTGTGCTAGTGGGAAAGTGGCGAGATGAGAAAGGTAAATCGCCTGTTTGTGATTCTGAAAGTTACGAACGTCAGTAACGTTGTCGACAGTGTTTTTGTCCGTGTAAAAAAAAAAATGTTTTACGTAACTCGAGAAGAATGTTTACCGTCGCGAAATTAGTTACGCGCCTTCCACCATACCTGGTGTCTGGGCTGGGAGTGATGTGGAAAAATATTAATATAACATTTGTATTCGTTGTCATTGTTGGGGGTGGGTTTGTTTTTGACAAGTAACGGTGGGACGCACTGCTTTGCACGTCGATAACGGTGTAAAGTTCTCCAGCGTTCGTCCTCGTCGTTAATAACCGAGTCGCGTGTTATGTCAAACTGCCATTTTTCTATCCTACAATTGCCACCGTTTATGAGCACGTCGCGTCTCTTTTGACAGTTTGATGCGGCTGCAGGATTTTGCCTTTTGAACACAAATTGCTGGAGAGCGCGCAGTAATAGCTTTCCCCCCTCGCCCACGTGTTTTCGGATTGTTGTGCCGCGTGTGGTTCGGCACGGTGACGTCCCCGACGTTCCATCGTCAAACGCGCCGAGAGCTTCTTCGGCAGCGAACGTCGCACGTGGTATGACCGGAAATCACGCCGCGGGGTTGCACGGCACAGCGACAACAGCGAAAACGCACGCGGTAGCAAGCAGTATTGTATATTTGTGCGAGAGGGGTGCGCCGAGGAGCACGATGCTGTCGCGGGAGTTGAGGAGTTCCACTCGTCTGCCCCCTGTGATCCTGAGGGGTTTTGCATGATGGATCGCTGTAGACCCCCCTTCCCCCCCATCACAGGCGTCCCCGACTGATGAAGATGATTATATATTTTTTTGTCATTATACCAGTGGATTTACTGCAAACTGGTATAAATTCAATAAGAATGTAAATGACGGGTGGGGGGGGGGGGGGGAATGCACATTATATCATATGTAAAGGTGAATGTACAAGGGAAATGTATTGGAAAAACACAGCTGTAGACATTGTTTGGCTTATTTGCTACATACCCCGGACCATACACTCTAGTTAAAACATATGGCACTTAATGTTTTCATAATGGAGTTTCTAGCTTAATTTGGTCAGTATGTTGCCATTTATGTTAATTGGGCAGTTTTGTAAACTGGGAAGCAGTACTTTTATCCAACGTGTGAATCAAACCCTTTAACTCCAGGGCCTCCATGTCACTAACATGTGAATTGAGCTATTCAGCTCCACCAGTGTTTAAATGAACATACTTATTGACTTCTGGTACGAGATTTGTGCCTCCCTTTGTTCTCTGGGCCCCCGAGGGGGGGGGGGGGGGTGAGGAGGGGGGACGGATGCCACGCTGGCGTCATACTCACGTGACAATGCCTCTACGGATACATCGCGGTCGGTGACTTACAAGGAAAATGCGTTTCAAGTTGTTAAGCGGATTTTATTTTTTTATTCCAGACTTCGATGTCGTTGGGTGATTAATTTTTCGCACAACAGCAATGGTAGAAAAATAAGAGACAACTGCATCAATCAAAAAACGACAAGCACAATCCATGAAATGCCACTGGGTGACAGGAATCAAAGGGAAACGGCCACCACTCGATCATAAGGAAGGAAACCACAAGGGTGGGAAAGGATTGCTGTGCTGGGGTAGGCTGGGCGGTAGCGAAGGTGATGATGTTCAGGCGAATGTTGATCCGTTCCAGCCTACGTTCGCGGGATCCTGGTTGTGGAAGGCTATGTACATCCTGGGACGAGGGCAGAGGAGGAGTTTGAGTCACAAGTGGACATCGCAAAACGTTTGATGGGTCTTGAAGACAGTGGTGAAATGTGTATCATTCGAAACTGAGTTGCCTTTAAAATATTAAAAGTATTGTATTATCAAGTTATAATTGCGTACGTTTTTGTTTCTTTTTATATATTGAGGTCTCCAATACACTTGAATGTTTTAAACTCAAATTACACGTTTAATTCAGTTTTTTTCTCCACGAAGTTAGGCAGCTTAAGCCGTATGAACTGCCTTTAACCGAATCACCCAGAAAGGACCTGATCTCATCATACCTCAGGAGTTCAGCAGGTTTGATCCTCTCCTGTATTTAGGATGGGAGACCACTATGCAGATTGACAGGCTGCTGCTGTGGGGGTCATTTTTATCGGTGCTCTACTATACATCGCCGTTTACCAAGCCGGCACTGACCAGCGTGGTGAAATATGGTCAAATAACACCACGGTCCACATAGCGTGGTGAGGTCCTCATCCAGCAGTGGATTGATAAAGGGATGTACATTGTTCATAATAATAGTCGGCTTAGTAGATCACGATTATGGTAGTGGATATCGTACACGCATTTTTATAGAATGAAAGTGTATATTGAAAATGACCATCGATGAATGGATGATAGTGGGCATGGTAATCAAATTATATATATATGATAGTTAATAATGAACATTGTGGATGATGATCGAGTTTGTACGGTAGGTGACAATGATGACGATGCCATCACGCGCGTAACCCCCACCTGTCCTTGGGTATGCCCAGGTGGGTGTTCATGGCCTCCGACAGCAGCGCCGAATACTTCTTGTTCTCAGCGGGGGAGATCTTGCCGATGCTGGAGAGATGAGCCAGGGCGCAAGGCTCCTTGGTGCCTCCGAAGCTCATCAGCTGTCCCGGCACCACGTGCACCGCCACGTACTGAGGCGGTGGAGAGGGGAGGGCGAGGCGAAGGGGCAGGGGGCCATTTGATGGCGCAGTAAGGGCAAGCCAGAGACAAAACATGGCAGTGTTAAGCGGGCATAGGAAAATACAATTTTAGCAGAACGTGTTTGCGGGCAAGGTAGAGTTGGTCGGAAATATTGGGCGCAAGGCGGTATCACACAGGGCCATGGCAATATGACGGTGCAGTAAGATAGGTCAGAGCGAAGCAGGGTCAGAGCAGGGCAAGGTAGAATGACAGCACGGCAAGATAAAGAAGGAGAAGCTGGGGCAGGAAAGGGCAAGGCAGTCGGAGCCGAGGCAAGGAGCGGTCGGGCAGTACCAGCAGCGTCACACGAGCGTGGGTCAGGCAGGGGGTGCCTTGGCCCCCCCTAGTGGCCAAAGCTACGAGTTGGGTGGGGGGGAGCCTTGACAATCATCATGATATGTTTTCAACAACAGTGTAAAATAACTTATTTAAAACGTGGTTCAAATTAATGTTCAGGAAAATGCTTTCGCATACAACTCTGGCATATTAATTTCATTAGATACGCGTCAATTATATTGCAAAGAGGTAACTACGGGGCTGTAGTGGGTCCTAGACCGTGAGCGTAACGACGGCGTGATTACGGCAAGAGGAGCCCGCGATCTATAACAGCCTCGGGGTGTGCGACCGTGCGAGACGAATACAAATATTGGGGCCCCACCTGACCGATTTTGGGACTCCCTGAGCTGACAATGTCGTGACTAGGCCACTGGGCAGTACGAGATTTGCTAATGCCACGGTGGCAGTCACCGTGTTCAATGGTGATGATGATTGGGCTGAGCCCCCGTAGCACAACCCAGGACGGATCACCCAGCTTATTTGTTCAGAACGCAACGAAAGCGGTCACCTCTCGTCGGTTAAGAGTCGGAGGAGGGAGTTGAATAATTAGAAAATAATATAGTCATATATATTTTAAAAAGGATAAACTCCAAGGCTGTCCCAAGTAAATTCAGGGGTGGTTTCTCAAGTGGGGAGGTGGTACTAGTCAATGGTCATTGTTATCAGTTTAAATCGTATCGCGACCAATATCCATAATAGGTTTTTTTGGGTTAGATCGCGTAAATGTGTGTCGTTAAACCCGCCCACCACCCGACACAGCCAATTAGTGAGGTTTGTCACGTAAACAGAATATTCCAATTCGTTACTAGTACAGTGAAGACTTTCACGGCCCTGGATGCGTGAGACTCTCTCGGCCCTGAATTCGTGATGACTCTCACGGCCCTGAATTTGTGATGACTCTCGCGACCTGAATTCGTGGACTCTCACGGCCCTGGATGGGTGAAACTCTCTCGCGACCTGAATTCGTGAAGATTCTCACGGCCCTGAATTCGTGAGGACTCTCACGGCCCTGAATTCGTGAGGACTCTCACGGCCCTGGATGCGTGAGACTCTCTCGGCCCTGAATTCGTGATGACTCTCACGGCCCTGGAAGCGTGACGACTCTCACGGCCCTGAAATCGTGAGGATTCTCAAACTCCCCGTTACGTGATGACTATTCTCACGGGTCCTGAACGCGTGAGGTCCCACTGCAACGACAAGTGAAACTCCATCATCAGCCACCGCCAACCACCACCACCACATCATCATCATCGTCCTCCTCTATCTACCCCCACCCCACCCCGGGCGCGACGCAAGGCCATCACCTGCACGGGTTTGCCGAGCGCCTTGGCGACGAGAGCCGTCACCTCGTCGTGGACCGAGGCCGAGACGCGGTCGGCGCTCACGTTCGTGTGAATCACGAAGGTCGGCATCGCGTTTTGCTTTGCAGTCTTCTGTCGGGTAAGGGGTGGTCGCTAATATTACTGCGGACCGTGGCCAAGTGAGCGGTGCGGCCGTGACGGTGACGAGTCACGTGAGCGCTTGGGGCGTGGGGGAGGCAGCGGGCGGTGACGGCATCGGTGACGTCATCACCGACGACGACGACACTGTGCGGCCTTCTTGCTTGAGGGAAGTCAATTATAATAAAAAAATGTAAAGTTAATTATATCACGGGACACTTTTTTGTTGTTGTTATTATTGTTGCCAATGTGAGATTATGGAAAAAACGTGAGTTGTGTTTTTGATGTTCGAGCGCCAAATGGATACTCTTTTTGCAGTGAATCGGGTTGTTGCATTAACACACACACCGTGCTTACGGTGAACATGCAAAAACACATTTTGATATTGTACTTTATATGAATTGTCTTTTAAACTGATCGACCTACACCAAAGACACTGCCTACATGTTATTATTAAAGCATGTTTTGCCGCAGTACGGTGTGGTTAATGCAGTACTTTATTCGTTGCTAAAGGAATATATTCGGTGTTTGAACACCTATTTTATTGCCAGAAAGGGTATAACACCTATTATTTTTCAAACGGTGTTGTTACGTGCAGATAACTCTTGCTTATCCTACCTTATTGGTGAACTTACACGATACATACGTCACAAAACATTTAATTTGTATACAAATATAAATTTAACGTGGAGAGCGATATGAAGGAGACTGTGTTTATATTGTGTTGTTTTAAGGGACGTTCCTTTGTTACGAGTTGTACTGACTGAGATTAAAACCTTAAGAGCCAAATCTTTTGCGTTCATTCGCAAAGGCGCGGACGCCTGTTTGCGAAACCAGCATCCACCACTTACGCATTTTAAATTGATATCGAGAAGGGTCATCGCGTGAAACGTTGCCAACAATATATTTATCACACCCCCCCCCCCCACCCTTACAAATGGCCACAGTGCTATTTATCAAATGTTTGTTGATCATAACGCGCTGTCGACAAACACTTTTGTTTGGGGAATTTATGAACGAGCGGGCCTCAGGAGCTTCTTGACCCCCTCCTAGCATGGCGGACGAGTTGCGCGCGCGATTACGTCACGGGGCCTTCGTCTCCACGGCAACGAAGCCTGCGGCTGAGTAAGGGGAGTTTTTTTTTTCTCCTCTCCCGCCAAATTTGGTGCACGAGGGTTTAAAAGCACGTGACGAGCGTGCTGGGCCAATGGCGCGATTGCAATTCTCCGGGGGGAGGAGGTGGGGGTGGCGCGAGATTCATTTTGTTTGGTGCCTGCAGGGAGGGGGGGGGGAAAGCGCGGGAAATGACACGGGGCGGCACCGTTGCAGAATGGGGAGGCTCACGCGACTGACATTGATGGTTTAACACGAACGTTCAAGGGGCCGTCCATAAATGACGTCACGCGGATTTGGACGTTTTTTGACCCCCCCCCCTCGTCACACGGCGTCACAAAAAGTCAGACCCCCCCTTAAATATGACGTCACAAAGCTCTGCCCCTCCGCCCCAAAAAAACATAAAACATGCTTTAAAATATTGTCATTGTAGTACGTATTTAATGTGGCGCTGTAGGAGAAAACATTTATGAAAAAGTCGATTTAATTAAGTAGAACGTGTTGTCTATATTTAAAGTTGCGCATTTTGATGTGACGTCACATTTCTCACCCCCCCCCCCCTCACACATCGTCACAAATGTCTGACCTCCCCCCCCCCTAGGTGCGTGACGTCATTTATGGACGGCCCCAAAGAGATTTAAAAAAATAATAAACAAAACGGGCGATATAGATACAATGAAGAACGATAAAACCCAATAATTGCATTCACATGTACAGCATAGGTAAACATCTTATAAAACTACAGGGGTGGTAACAACAGTGCCTCTGAACAATAAGAATATATATTTTTTACCCTTTCTGGTAATAAAAGCGGTGTTAAGATGTGCAAACACCAAATGGATACATTTTGTAAGGAATGAAGTTCTGCATTAACCAGACAGTGCTTGTGAACATGCAAACAAACATGCTCTGAATTTTTACTTAAAACATTCGTGACTGCAGGAATTCATAATATTTGGTTCTTTCGGTAAAGTCACGTAGATATAAAAAGAATATTAAAAAATAAAGTGAAAAAATAATAAAAATTATAAAATACACAAATGTAGACTAGCCTGGTTCTTAACCTGGGTGAGTGTACTGGCAGTCTATAATGTAGACTGTAGCCTGGTTCTTAATTGGAGTGAGTTTACTGGCAGTCTATAATGTAGACTGTAGCCTGGTTCTTAATTGGAGTGAATTTACTGGCAGTCTATAATGTAGACTGTAGCCTGGTTCTTAATTGGAGTGAGTTTACTGGCAGTCTATAATGTAGACTGTAGCCTGGTTCTTAATTGGAGTGAGTGTACTGGCAATCTATAATGTAGACTGTAGCCTGGTTAAGTTGGGTGAGTGCGCTGGTAGTCTATAATGTAGACTGTAGCCTGGTTCTTAATTGGAGTGAGTGTACTGGCAATCTATAATGTAGACTGTAGTCTGGTTCTTAATTGGAGTGAGTGTACTGGCAATCTATAATGTAGACTGTAGCCTGGTTCTTAACCTGGGTGAGTGTACTGGCAATCTATAATGTAGACTGTAGCCTGGTTCTTAATTGGAGTGAGTTTACTGGCAGTCTATAATGTAGACTGTAGCCTGGTTCTTAATTGGAGTGAGCGTAATGGCAGTCTATAATGTAGACTGTAGCCTGGTTCTTAACCTCGGTGAGCGTACTGGCAGTCTATAATGTAGACTGTAGCCTGGTTATTAACCTGAGTGAGCGTACTGACAGTCTATAATGTATACTGTAGCCTGGTTCTTAATTGGAGTGAGTGTACTGGCAGTCTATAATGTAGACTGTAACCTGGTTCTTAATTGGAGTGAGTGTACTGGCAGGCTATAATGTAGACTGTAGCCTGGTTCCTAACCTGGGTGAGTGTACTGGTAGTCTGTAATGTAGACTGTAGCCTGGTTCTTAATTGGAGTGAGCGTACTGGTAGTCTATAATGTAGACTGTAGCCTGGTTCTTAACCTGAGTGAGTGTACTGGCAGTCTATAACGTAGACTGTAGCCTGTTCTTAATTGGAGTGAGTGTACTGGCAGTCTATAATGTAGACTGTAGCCTGGTTCTTAACCTGAGTGAGTCTACTGGCAGTCTATAACGTAGACTGTAGCCTGTTCTTAATTGGAGTGAGTGTACTGGCAGTCTATAATGTAGACTTTAGCCTGGTTCTTAACCTGAGTGAGTGTACTGGCAGTCTATAATGTAGACTGTAGCCTGTTCTTAATTGGAGTGAGTGTACTGGCAGTCTATAATGTAGGCTTATTCTTGGTTCTTTCAGCAATAAAAAAGTAAGAAATTCATGGGGTTTTTTTATTTAAAATTTTAATAACTTTCTTTTGTATTCTTATTTTTCTATCTACGTGACTTTACACAAAGAACCAAATAATATAAACATACTCTGATATTATTTCGCCATTGTCTCTGAAGAAGTCTGCTGTCTGGTGTAGGTCAATCAGTTTCAAAGACTGCCTTTATATTACCAGAAAATGTTTTCATGGTCACCACAAGTACTGTTTGTGGTCAATGCAGTACTTTCTTTCTTGCAAAAGGTTTCTATTTGGTGTTGAACATCTTAACCACCTCCTATTGTATTGCCAGAAAGGGTAAAAACCTATTCTTGTTTTTCATACTTTGATTATGGCAACATCAAAAAAGGTCCCATAATAATGGTGCCAAGATAAAGGGCCGTCCATAAATGACGTCACGCGATTTTGGACGATTTTTTACCCCCCCTCCCTCGTCACACGGTGTCACAAAAAGTCAGACCCCCCCTCAAATATGACGTCACAAAGCTCTGCCCCCCCCCAAATAAAACATGCTTCAAATATCTTTAAACTATTGTCATTGTAGTGCTTATTTAATGTGGCGCTGCACTCTGATGTTGTAGGAGAAAACATTTATTAAAAAGTCAATTTAATTAAGTGGAACGTGTTGTCTATATTTATTTAAAGTTGCGCATTTTGATGTGACGTCACATTTCTCAACCCCCCCCCCCCCCCGTCGTCGTCAAACATCGTCACAAATGTCTGACCCCCCCCAGGTGCGTGACGTCATTTATGGACGGCCCCTAAGCCGAACCGCTAAATCTCATGAAAATGTCTTCGAAATGGGTAGCAGCCGGAGTAACTGTGAATTCGACAACGTCATTGAGAAACGTACGAAATGTGGTTAACATCTGGCGAAGTCTTCTTCGTGTAAAGCACTCACAAAGGGTTCAAGCCAGCACTTAAAATTGACGCGTTTATTGTATTTTTTTTAAATACAAACATTAAAATAAAAACGTTTAATTGACGCTCCAGTGATGTAATCTGTGTTATACATAGCAGGGTTACATTACGGGTGTTAATTGTTAATTAGCAAGTCGTGTAATTACTGCAGTTGGCACTTTCAAAGTGATCTAGTTTTTCGCGTGGAGAGATTTCCGGACAACATTCGAATCTCTTGAGTGAAAAAAAACGCTTTGAACTTTTTCTTCCGTAGTTTCTGTTTTATTGAAGTGTTTAAAGACTGGTTAGTCAATCATATGCATCTCAGACATTGTCCGTAATCAAAAAGTCTACATGTGGTGTAACAGTGCATTCATTTTAACATCACAAAGTGAGAACAGTGAAATTGGGGATGGTGGGAGGTATGGCTGTAGCGCAGTGATTCACAGACTGCCCCATATTAAATTTGTTAATACTGGTAGGAACCTCCAGCCCATAGGGGATTATTGTGTCCGTCCATCCGTCGTGCATCCAAAAATGGGAGGGGTGGGGCAGGGTGGAGAGGGTGGGGAGGGGCTGAGTGGGGAGGGAGGGGCTCGGTGCGGTGGGGAGGGTGGGGCTGGATGGGGAGGGGCAGGGTGGGGCTGGGTGGGGGGTGGGGCTGGGTGGGGAGGGGCTGGTCACCCCGTGGTGCCCTTATAAAACTCAACGTTTAACCTACTCACGCCGGCTTGTGCCCGCCCTCACAGTCGGGCATATTTGCGGAATACACCACGTGGTGCTGCCGTTGACCCTGGCCATTGACCGAGCAACCCAACGTTCCTGCCAGCTCCCTCCGCAGGAGAATGTGTTTATTTGGCAAATTCAGCACGCACGTAACATTCCACTGAGAAGCTTAATACCCCTGCAGTATTAACTAGGGTGACCGCGGGGCTCCAACCGGGAATCTCCGCAACAAGCATCGGATCCCGCCACTGACGGACCGCATCACACCGCCCTATCTCGTCATCCCCACCCCACCCGACTTTCCTTGTGGAATCTCAGCTCCCCACACTGGGTCAGGGCGTGCGGCTCCGTGCTGCTCGCTTGTCCGCGTTGAGAGACTGGAAGTCGCGGCTGATCTCGAGGAAGGAGCGGTCTCGCGTCTCGGGTAGCACAAGCCCCGTGTAGAGCGCGCACAGCATGCACGCCGCGGCGAACGCCAAGAACGTGAAGGGACCCAGAATCATCTGCAAGAGAGAAGCGCGAGGGCACGGGTGACGGCGTATGAGGGGTTCGTTCGGCGGCTGCAGGTGTCCCGTCGACTCCCTTAGGGGTGCCACGGTGGCTTGGAGATGTTAACTACCTTGCCAGGTATACAGGAGGTCGTGGGTTCGATCCCGACCCTGATGCCTGCTGTATATTTGGAATTTGCATGTCTCTCTCCCCGTAGTCGCGTGGATTGTTTCTCCGGGTCTTCCTGTTTTTCCCTCCACATTTAGAATCAACATCACGCGTTTGGAGTATTTTCCTGCTATACATTTACACGTGATAAGCCACTTCCTTGAGCTATCATTTGTGGTCAGGTCGCTTCTGAAAAAGAGCCGCATAGGTCAATGGGTCTTACCGGGTAAAATAAAATCGTTTATAGTTTTTTTTATAGTTTTCCCTTTTCTGTCCCATCCACTCCCTTGCCCTGTTCAGGTCCCAGACTCAAAACCTTACTTTTTTCATCAATCACGTACAATGGGCTGCCTCGACGTCTAACAGGATGATTATCCCGACTGTTTTGAGCAGTGGACTTGAGGTGCGGTCATATGTCGACATTGCATAATGCACGTACAAGTATCGCATCGTGATAGGTGTGTGTCTGACAGGTGTGTGGTTTATACGCAGGTGACTGACGGGTGTAAGGTTCACACATGTGACAGGTAGACAGAGATATACTTTAGAACTCCAACAAAATTCCGCGATGCTAGGGAAAGTGGAATTCCTGCAATTCACGGATTACCAGCGGTCCGTGACTCCTGCTGTAGTCCGTGAGACTTGACCCTGCAATTCGTGAAAAATAATTGCATAATTCTGGATCTCTTCTAGGAGCAGCTGATTTCTCCTGCAGTTAGCGGTACACTGTGTCAACACGAAAATCTTTCCACTGATTATGGAACCAGTGGATTACGAGATCTGCGATGTGGTCCACCCATATCAACGTGGTTCTTGGAGTTTTGATGTTCTTTAAAAATATGCGTCGAAACTCACGGACTCTAGGGCTTTTGCCGCCGCGAATTGCAGGAGTTTCTGTGAACCGTGGGGAAACCGCAAATGCTAGGAATGCACAAACTATTGGAGGATGTTTTTGGAGGTTTTAATGTAGATGGAGATACAATATTGCTATTTACCATAGGTTGTAAGGACGTATCCAAGTAACTTGGTGTGATATAATGTATATACGGTGAGGGAAAAAAGTATTTAATCCCCTGCTGATTTTGTACGTTTGCCCACTGACAAAGAAATTATCAGTCTATTATTTTAATGGTAGGTTTATTTGAACAGTGAGAGAATAACAACAACAAAATCCAGAAAAACGCATGTCAAAAATGTTATAAATTTATTTGCATTTTAATGAGGGAAATAAGTATTTGACCCCTCTGCAAAACATGACTTAGTACTTGGTGGCAAAACCCTTGTTGGCAATCACAGAGGTCAGACGTTTCTTGTAGTTGGCCACCAGGTTTGCACACATCTTAGGAGGGATTTTGTCCCACTCCTCTTTGCATATCTTCTCCAAGTCATTAAGGTTTCGAGGCTGACGTTTGGCAACTCGAACCTTCAGCTCCCTCCACAGATTTTCTATGGGATTAAGGTCTGGAGACTGGCTAGGCCACTCCAGGACCTTAATGTGCTTCTTCTTGAACCATTCCTTTGTTGCCTTGGCCGTGTGTTTTGGGTCATTGTCATGCTGGAATACCCATCCACGACCCATTTTCAATGCCCTGGCTGAGGGAAGGAGGTTCTCACCCAAGATTTGACGGTACATGACCCCGTCCATCGTCCCTTTGATGCGGTGAAGTTGTCCTGTCCCCTTAGCAGAAAAACACCCCCAAAGCATAATGTTTCCACCTCCATGTTTGACGATGGGGATGGTGTTCTTGGGGTCATAGGCAGCATTCCTTGAGTTGATGCCAAAGAGCTCCATTTTGGTCTCATCTGACCACAACACTTTCACTCAGTTGTCCTCTGAATCATTCAGATGTTCATTGGCAATCTTCAGACGGGCATGTATATGTGCTTTCTTGAGCAGGGGGACCTTGCGGGCGCTGCATGATTTCAGTCGTTCACGGCGTAGTGTGTCACCTTCTCACCAAGCTGCTTGGCAATGGTCTTGTAGCCCATTCCAGCCTTGTGTAGGTCTACAATCTTGTCCCTGACATCCTTGGGGAGCTCTTTGGTCTTGGCCATGGTGGAGTTTGGAATCTGATTGATTGATTGCTTCTGTGAACAGGTGTCTTTTATACAGGTAACAAGCTGAGATTAGGAGCACTCCCTTTAAGAGTGTGCTCCTAATCTCAGCTCGTTACCTGTGTAGTGGGTTCCAGGACACGGAGACGGCAGAATAGAAGCAGCACTATTTATTTAAACCTTAACAAGGGTTACACTAGAAGGGGTAGCGGCCCCTCCACCCGTATAACTCAGGAACACACCCCAGGCTCTCTGGCCTAAGCTCTAGGCTCCCAGTTCCTCCTGGTAGGGCTCTAAGGGAGGCTATCAGATCCGGCCCTGGTTAGGCACAGATCTCGGCACCCCGCCGACCAGACCGGCCCTTAGAAGGACTCTGACTCTGGGGCTCTGGGGCCGCACCACTGGCTTGCTGTGCCGGCCCTGAAAAGGGCAGCGGTCACAGGAGTTCCAGGGTCTCACCTAGCTGGCCTTCTTTCTTCACTGGTTGCTTCAGCCTCGGGCCCCACACTCTGCCCCGAGCTCCCTGGCTCCCCGCACTTTATACCCACTGGAGCCTTAGCGGACGTTGTTGTAGCCACCAAGGTGTGGGTGAACCACACCTTCCCGTGTCATGTGTTTATTCCCCATAGCACCCCTACATCACCCCCTCCCGTGTAACCCGCAGCCGTCCCGGCTGCAACAATACTCGAACAATAAACACAACAAACCCCCACCCGTGCGTGCCTCATAAGAACGAACACCCCAATAAATAACCCAACCCACCTATACAAAATTACACTATATACACATATACATTGTACCCGCCCCCCCCATCAACGCAGCAAGAAAACTTAACAGTGAACAACAAGAGTAACAAGAACCATTTTTACAACAAGCGGCGCATTTTGGCGCGAGTCCGATTTGCGGGTCCATCGTAGGGGGAGGGTCCGGTCGGCCCGGCAGTGGGCACCGGCTGTGCAGGTGCACCGTCTTCCGTCACCCCGGAAGGGCAAACTCCGTCCCCACCGGGTGGCGCAGGCGCGCTGGAAGCCGTCATTCTTGAGGCGCCTGAAGGTGGAACAGTTAGCGAAGCATCAAGGGCAGGTGACGAAGACGCCGTCCGGGAGTCAGCGGAGACATCACATGCTCGGCCTGTGTAATGTGGTGGAGGGACGCGCGGCGCCACAAACGGCTTCAGACGCGAGGGGTGTACGTACCAGCGGCGTTTCCCCCACTGGATACGAACGCACTGCGGCCGCATAACCTTCACAATAACCACAGGGCCCCTCCAAGGCCGCAACAATTTCGCCGAGGTCGCCAACGGCACCTGAGGGCAGTGCAGCCAGGCTTGATCGCCTGGCTTCCACGCATGTGTGCGTGATTGGCGCGATCGCAACCTCTCGTTGGCCTTCTGCCGAGAGGAAGAGTTTTGGGCCGCTGCCTCCCGCGCCTCGGTCAACCTCAGGATATTAAATTTAACGTGGTCGGCCAATTTCGATTTTCTGCTGGTTTCCGAGACGCGGAGCTGATTCGCAATTGGTGGGTCAACGTCGCGACCGTACATCAAAAAGAACGGCGAGAAGCCGGTTGCCGCGTGAGGAGCCATTCTATAGGCGGCCAAAACCCCCGGAATGTGAAGGTCCCAATCGGTCTGGGAGTCACACACCTGGTGACACAACATAGATGTGAGCGTCCTATGCAGCCGCTCCACCATGCCATCGGTTTGTGGGTGATAGGGGGATGTGCGAATCTTTTTCGTACCAAGAAGCGCACACACCTCGTGCAGAAGGACGCCAGAGAAGTTCTTCCCTTGGTCAGTCAGCAGCCGTTCGGGAGCACCCTTGTCGAGGACATAGCCCTGGACAAAGGCCTCGGCAACGGCTGCTGCTGACTGGTTAGCAAGAGGCCATGCCATAGGCCATCGGGTGAAATATTCCACGCCAACCAGCAGGTACTTGTTACCCCTAGGGGTCGCAGGGAAGGGCCCCAATATATCGAGTGCGACGAGTTCGTTAACCCGAGAGACCGTGATAGATTGTAGCGGTGGGCAGGCGCCTTTCGCTGGTGGTTTTCGTTGGGCGCACTGAGTGCATGCACCCAGGAGGTCATCCACATCCCTTGCCATACCCGGCCAGAAGAAATCCAGCTGGAGCACGGCAAGGGTCTTGTGGGTCCCCAGGTGCAAAAGTCGCTCGTGTGCGGCCCAAACGGCCTTACCCCGCAAAGCGGATGGCACCACAAGCCTGTGACGGCAGGCCCTCCCATCCCAATGCATTAGGAGCCCCTGGAGCAGCCCGTATGAATCAATCCCCGCGACCCCCCGCACGGAACCCCCTGCGCGACGACGCAACGCGAGGAGGGATGCGTCCTCCATCTGGAGGCGCCCCCATTCAGCAACGGACAACCCCAGCAAGGAGTCCGCACCTCCCTCCCCGACAGGACCCTCAGGCAAGGGGTCCTCAGTGGCAGCAGCGAGAACCGGGATATCTAAGGGGGGGCTATCCTCTGGCGGCTTACAACGCCCCGATCCCCTGAGACAAGCGCAATCTGAGGCGGGCGGCAGGCGAGACAGCGCATCCGCATTAGTGTGCCGAGCACCCTTCCGATATGTGGTCGTGAAATCATAATCCTGAAGGATTTCGAGCCATCGGGACAATTGCCCCGAAGGCTGTGTCACCCGCAAGGCATATTGTAATGCCGCATGGTCCGTACGGACAGTGAAATGCCGACCGTACAGGTATGGGCGATACTGTTGCATAAAAAATACAATAGCCAAGAGTTCCCGACGCGTGACGCAGTATCTCTGTTCCGCCGGAGACAAAACCCTACTGCCATAAGCCACGACGCGTTCCACACCACAGATCACCTGTGAGAGCACACCCCCAATGCCCGTATTGCTGGCGTCTGTATCGAGCAGGAAGGGTTCCGAAAAATCGGGGTAGCTCAATGGAGGGGCCCGCACGAGAGCGTCGCGAAGGGAACAAAAAGCGACCTCCTCCTCCTGGCCCCAGTGAAATTTCACTCCCTTCGCCGTCAGAGCGTGTAAGGGCTTAGCAATGGTCGCGAAATCCGCGACGAACCGCCGGTAATAAGACGCAAATCCAATGAAACTCCTGACCTCAGCCACCGAGGTGGGGGTTGGCCAGGAGTTGACACACTGCGTCTTTGCGGGATCGGTGGATATGCCCGAGCGGCTGACGATGTGCCCCAAATAGCGTACGGATTCCCGTAGCAGGTGGCACTTTTGCGGCTTAAATTTCAAATTCGCAGCACGCATTTTGAGGAACACGGCGCGCAAGCGCAAAAGGTGTTCGTCAAATGTCTTGCTGAACACGATGACGTCATCCAGATAGATCAAACAGACGTTCCACTGTAAGCCAGCCAAAACCAGTTCCATAAGGCGCTGAAATGTCGCCGGAGCGGAGTGTAATCCCATAGGTAACCGGTTAAATTGGAATAGGCCGTGTGGTGTGCGAAACGCAGTCTTTGGCTTGGACTCATCATCCAATGGGAGTTGCCAAAATCCGGATAACAAGTCCAACGTAGAAAAAAAACGTGCGCCAGCCAGAGCATCCAGAGATTCGTCCATCCGGGGAAGTGGATACGCGTCGGCCACGGAGATCTTATTAAGGCGGCGAAAATCCACACAGAATCGCAAGGACCCATCGTGCTTTTTGACAAGCACTATGGGTGCTCCCCATGGACTGGTGGAAGGGGCTATAATGTCTGCAGCCAGCATGTCATCCACTGCCAATTTGACATGATCTTTTTCGGCCGGACTTAACCGAAAAGGATTCTGGCGTACCGGGGCATTGTCACCCGTGTCAATGTGGTGACGCAACAATTTCGTGCACCCAATGTCATATTTGTGTTTACTAAAAACATCGGAAAATTCCGTCAGAAGGGTGCGTAGGCCGGCACGCTGGGAGTCGGACAGATCACTCATGCCCGAACATAGTGTGTCCATCCAACTATCGTCCCCCTCAGAATGCGGTTGAGCCAGAGGATCGGTCCCCACATTACCCATAACCGTGTCTACCACGGGGACCGGTGTCGCGTGCGCGAGCACAGTTCCCTGAGGAACGACGGCCGTCTGTACGCCAACGTTAAGGACGAGGATAAACGGGTCATCGCTCCCCTTAACGAGCGTTTGAGCGGCCACCAGATCCAGCCCGTTTTCCCCAGCCCTCGAGGGCCCTAACAGAATTCCCTGGTCCAGAACACCGGGCACGAAAGGCCGACGCAAGCGAAGGGGCACGAGCATTTGCGCCCCGGGAGGTACACGCACCGTCCGAGTGACGAACGCTTGTATCGACGCGCACGCTGCCCTTGAGGTGACAGGGGAAGGCAGGAATGTTACCCGTCGGCCCGAGGGAAGCTCGATGCAACCCTGATCAATTAGAATTTTAATCGGCATTTTGCCCAAAAAGTCCGTCCCCAACAAGCACGGAACCGCCAGCGAGGACGAGACTAATATCGGCCCGGAGAGTTTGATATCGCCAATGCAAATTTGTGCTCGAATTTGGCCTATGATACCCAGCGAACCCCCGTTCGCTGCGTAACACGGAACGGTGACTGGGAGCAAGGGGCGGCTTTGAACGGGAAGAATATTATAAATCAAGTCTGACACAATGGTCGCCGAAGCTCCCGTATCGACGAGGATACGCACCTCGACCCCGTCAATGTGACCCGCGACCACGGACGAGCCTGCCGACGCAGCAACAATGCGGTGGGCCAATTCCGTCCACTGCCCCGGCCCGAGCACCCTCTCGACCCCGCCGCCACCCAACAAACCAATGGGCGTACCCCGAGGCCCGTACACCGAAACGCGCGAGGTGGGGACAGGTGTGTGCACAGGCCGAGCATGTGGGGTGCCGCGACTTGCCGGGTTGCGATGCGGAGGCCTGTAGGCTGGAGCGCCGTCCGACCGTCCCGGCTGTCGTTGACGAGGCGCCCGGCATTCCGCAGCCACGTGGTCCTTGCGGCCACAGTTGTAGCACGTGATGAGCGCCTTGGGGTGCTCCTGGCGATCCGGTGTGGTCCGAGCCGGCCTCCCTCCGGATCTCCACTCCACCGGGCGACCCGCCGCGAAGACCTCCTCGGAGGGGGGGATGGTCGGCGTCCCAGCGCACACCGCAGCTGCGCCCTTGGGGACGAGAGGTGATCGACGCTGCGCTATCAGGTGCGCGTGGATGTGTCTTGCTGCCCGCAAGGAGCACATGTCCGCGTCGTCCTCTGCGACGATGACGATCTGTAGCTCCTGGGCCAACGCCAGGAGCTTCTCCGTCACCATCGCGTCCACCCCTTCGCCGTCCATCCGCGGGAAAGCCGCTTTTGCGAGGGCCAGGAGAGCCGTGCGATACGCCAGCGGTGGCTCCTTCTGGCCCCTGCACCGCTCGTGGAAGAGTTTGCGGCAGTCCGACGATGGCCCGTAGACTATGGTGAGGACCTGGAGCGCCGACTGTAGCGTAGATCGCGTTGATCTGGGAGCTGTGATGAGCGTAGCAAGGGCGTCATCGTCCAGCATGGCCGGTAGCGCACTCAACGCCTCGTTGTCCGTCCAGCCGGCCATCTCTTGATGAGCGAGAAAGCGGCGTTGAAAGGCCCCCCAGTCGCCGCCGTCTGAAACGAACTCCTTCAACACCGGCAGGCGTTGTTGAAACGATGGCTTCGTCTTTGAGAGGTGCCGCGCGCCATTTCCGGCCTCTCCACCGGTGTCTGAGGGGCTGAGGACACCCATCGGCGGTCGCGCAGGTGATGACGATGCGCCCGCCGATTGGTCCTGACAGCGGGCGTCCGTTGGTGATGACGTCACCACCGCTGATTGGCCCACAGCGTCCACGTGGCGCTGCGACCCTCCAATCGCCGTGGCGGACACTGTCATGGCGGCAAATCCGAAATCTGGTGGCTGTGTTTCGGCGGGAATGGCCGTTGAACGGCGTTCGTCTCTCTGCCGCCTTTGCGCCCGCAGCCCCGCGCGGTTGATTTCCTCCAGCGTGGAAGCCGCGGCATACAGCAGCTCAGCCAGTCGAGAGTGAGCCGCCTGCAACCCGTCCTCCATCGGCGGCCACTCCTCCAGCGGCGGCTGCTGTTGGGGCGTCTGGGACATCCCAGGATCGTCGGCCGCGGCCTCTGGCGCAATCCCAGGCGAGCCGTCCTCCTCCTGGGGTTCCTGTGATCGGTTTGTACTCCTTGTGTCCATTTTAACCCCACTTCTGACACCAGTTGTAGTGGGTTCCAGGACACGGAGACGGCAGAATAGAAGCAGCACTATTTATTTAAACCTTAACAAGGGTTACACTAGAAGGGGTAGCGGCCCCTCCACCCGTATAACTCAGGAACACACCCCAGGCTCTCTGGCCTAAGCTCTAGGCTCCCAGTTCCTCCTGGTAGGGCTCTAAGGGAGGCTATCAGATCCGGCCCTGGTTAGGCACAGATCTCGGCACCCCGCCGACCAGACCGGCCCTTAGAAGGACTCTGACTCTGGGGCTCTGGGGCCGCACCACTGGCTTGCTGTGCCGGCCCTGAAAAGGGCAGCGGTCACAGGAGTTCCAGGGTCTCACCTAGCTGGCCTTCTTTCTTCACTGGTTGCTTCAGCCTCGGGCCCCACACTCTGCCCCGAGCTCCCTGGCTCCCCGCACTTTATACCCACTGGAGCCTTAGCGGACGTTGTTGTAGCCACCAAGGTGTGGGTGAACCACACCTTCCCGTGTCATGTGTTTATTCCCCATAGCACCCCTACACCTGTATAAAAGACACCTGGGAGCCAGAAATCTTTCTGATTAAGAGGGGGTCAAATACTTATTTCCCTCATTAAAATGCAAATCAATTTATAACATTTTTGACATGCGTTTTTCTAGATTTTTGTTGTTATTCCGCCTCTCACTGTTCAAATAAACCTACCATTAAAATTATAGACTGATCATTTCTTTGTCAGTGGGCAAACGTACAATATCAGCAGGGGATCAAATACTTTTTTTCCCTCACTGTACATTGTTTCAAGCTCTTGCATAAACCTGATACAAGACATTTAACATCTTATTAAATACGTCATCACGCGAGCAATTATACATCATTGCCCAAATAGGTCATCGAGACTCGAGCACTGCACAGTGTCAGTGATTTCAGTCCGGCATCCCAGGGTCAAGGTCCGGGGCTGATGGTGTCGGGGTCTGATGGTGTACATGGCTGTGCGCAGGATCTCACCATGAGGAAGGGGTACACGAGGCTGACGGCTAGCAGGCTGAGGGAGATCACCGATCCGCTCAGCATGAAGGCTGCAGGACGAGCCTCCTGCGTGAACAGCTCCGCGGCCAAGATGGCCGTCACTCCACCTGGGGTGGCGCGCACGCGGGTCAGAGGTTCTCGGCTCACCGGAGGAAGTTCTGCAAGGCGACCCAGCGACCCAAGGGGGTAATGTACCAGTTGTAGAAGTATCGCGCTGGTGGTGATGTTGAGATCCTGGGTTTATCTGCCATTGATTTTCATCGATTTTTTTATGACTGATGAGCAAATCTGAGATGGCTAATACCGATTAAACATGCAACGCTGTGCCAGTGTTGGCCCAACGGTTCAACCCACATGGCAACGTTGGCTTAACGTTGCATGTTGACTGGGTACTTTAACACGACCCCCCACCAAGTTACGCCTTTACACGTTTACAAATTAACTCCAACGCCATCCAAATAGAAATTATTGTTAAACACGTCTCACGTGATACGCAAAGCAATTAACACTGTCCGCATTAATAAAACCGATTAAAATTGACATTGTCATGTCAGCATTAATTGCTCAGCGTGGTCACTTGGGACGAGTTTCACAATCATCAGGCGTGGGCAGCATGCAACGAGTTTATTAGAATGGGGGGGGGGGATAAAATTGGTAAACGTGGAAAGACGTAGCGTGTTGCGACAGCTGGAATTTGGGAAACCCTGGGCTACGTGTTTCAGGGCGCAGCTTGAGAGACGTAGCCGCACAACCGAGACAAAAATACAACCTTGTGAACTTCGTAATCGATTAAACTCTCCACAGGCTGGATCAAGCCACACGTGCGACCAATGTGGGAACCAGAGACTTGCCATCTGCACAGCCGTCTGCACAGCCACAGTTGCACGCACAGCGCATGGTACCGTCAGCGGCGTTGCCTTCGAACGCAAACGACAACAATGACAACGACGTTTTTTGGTCGCGGGGGATCACTCACCGGGGCCGATGCCGAAGCTGAGGATATAGGCAAAGATGCTGGCCACGCTCAGGTAGGGCATCCATGAAACGCGTTCCTGCGACGCGCACGTGGGCACAGGAGATCGTGAGTTCTATCCCGGCCCTGACACCCGCTGTATATTTGGAGTTTGGGTATCTCTCTCCCCGTGGTAGTGTCGATTTTTCTCCGGGTCCTCCGGTTTTCCCTCCACATTTAGAATCAACATCACGCGCTTAAAGTATTTGGCTGCTGTAAGCGTCCACGTGATCAGGCACTTCGTTGAGCTTATCATTTGTGGCCAGGCTCGCAAAGGTAGTTAATATCTCAGTAAAGTTCGTCGTACGGCTGTAAAAACTCTACAGATAACCCACCCGTGGTTGTAGTTGCTCAGGGGACTGGGGTGTGCGCCACTCACCAGGAGGGCCAGAGACAGTGTGTTGATGCAGCAGCAGACAGCCATGGCGAGGTAGCCAGCAACCAGCAGCTTCCTCCGGCCCGTGCGTTCCACCAACATCCCCTGCAGCCAGCATGTCGACAACGCACGCACGGCATTGCCTTGCGGCAGATTGGTACGGGAGGCGACGCGTCTAGAACATCGGTGATCAGGAGGTAAGAAGGGGTAATAGGTGGGGACAGAGAGAGGGGGGAGTGTGCTCGCGGCTCGGCAGCGTCAGTAATCGAAGCAGCGTCATTAGTATCATCATACTCAGCAGCAGGGTTATCGGCAGCACTATCATAATTCGGCAGCAGCATCTGCATTTCATTATAATACGATCATCTTTATTAACAGTAATAACACAATCGTCATCTTCCTCAAAGGTATCAATAACCATTACCATAATTTCCCTTAAATCTTGACTTAAAGCTTTCGTGACTGCAGGAATTCATATTCTTTGGGTCTTTCGGTAAAGTCACTTGGATAGGTTGAAAGAAAAGAAAATTACAAAAAAACTACGACGTTTCGATAGCAACATAAGCGGTCGTCATCAGGAAAAGGCTTTTCCTGATAACGTCCTCTGGTGTTGCGATCGAAACGTCGTAGTTTTTTGCTTGATATTTTGTTATTTTCTTTCAACCCATCTACGTGACTTTACCGAAATACCCAGAGGACATCATTCCCCTATCATAATCATCAATCAATCAGCATCACCAATAATTGATCAATCATGCATCATGGCCCATCGGGAGAGCGTTCGCCACTTGTTGCAGAGAGTCGTGGTTCGAATCCAGTCGCCACCCTGGGGCTCCGTGGTGGTAAGATGTTAACTACCTCGCCTGTTCTGCAGGCAGTTGTGGGTTTGATCCCGACCCTGATGCCTGTATAATTGGAGTTTGCATGTTCTCCCCGTGGTTGTGTGGATTTTTCTCCAGGTCCTCCGGTTTTTACCTCCACATTTAGCATCAACAAGCGTTCAGAGTACTTGGCTGCTATAAATGTCCACGTGATAAGCCACTTCGTTGAGCTATTACTTGTTATAGCCAGGCGGCTTCTGAAAAAGAACTATATACTCTTTGGTTCTTTCGGTAAAGTCACGTCGGTAGAAAAAATTATAGATCACGACGTTGAGATCCCCACACAAGCAATCTCTCCCACCTGAAGACGATTGCTTGTGTGGCGATCGAAACGTCGTCATCTATTATTTTTTTCTACCCACGTGACTTTAGCGAAAGAACCAGAGAGTATGAATTCCTGCAGTCGCGAAAGCTTCAAATCAAGATTAAGAGCTGTATAGCTCGGTGGGCCTTACCTGGTGAAATAAAAAGTTTAGTTTAGTAATACTGCGAGTGTGTTAACCATACCACGCGCCGTCTGCTTCAGAGTGGGCGTAACAAAATACCGCCATGTCATTCGCAACAGGTCACTATGCTGGCGTCAATCTGCGTGGAGTTTATATGTTATTCCACTTTTCCTCATGGGTTTCTTTCAGGGTTCTCCAATTTCCTTCAACAACCGTACAGCATAACTGGTATTGGCCAAAAACCCAATGCCGAAAGATCACCGACAAATGACTCAATTGGAATTTATACAGCAATCGTGAATCTATATTGAAAACGAATTTCTTTAGAACTGATTTTTGTGATTTGTTGCCCTTCCCCCGCACCACCGCTTAGCACGGATTTGCTATGTACGTTGCGAAATAAGTTCAACATATAGTCCATACATCGCCCCCCCACCTCCTACTACGAAAACTTCGCAGGACCCTCCTGAAAGAGAGTCGTGAGACTCGGTGACACTTTCCTGGGAAAACGAGCGGAATGTATTATCGTCATCAATGATCGTGTGTGTGTCCACCCCCCCCCCCCCCCCCGCTGCCCCCGCATACACAGCAAGTGGCGGTGAAGAGTTCGCAGAGCCCCGTGCCGAGGTTCACGTAGGGGACGCTTTCGGCAGCGATGCCCGCGGCAACAAACACGTACTCGGCGTACGAGTAGAGCTGTGGATGCACACGAACGCTCACACGTGCCATCGGTTCAGCGACTACGGTGTGCAGTACGGCAAGTGGGTTTGTGAACACCTTGGTCGTGCTGCACTCAGACACAAACACGTGACGCTAGCACAGAGGTGTGTGTTTTTTTGGGGGCAGGTACGGGCAGGAAATGTCAGAATAGCAGATTGGGAATAGGCTCGAGAGGACGGCTGCTGCAGAGATGGTTCGACGAGATTGGCTCGTGCGCAGGACCACGAAGCCTTTAGTCATCAGTTGTAGATCTACGCTGATGATGAGGGAACGTTGGAGCAGCGGTTAGCGCGTTGCGCTATGAACCCGACGTCCCGAGTTCGATTCCCGCTCACGGACAACGCCAGCGACGATGATCTGAACCAGTGATGGGCCTCCCCTAGGTCGACTCAGCCTCAAATGAGTGTCAGGTACAATGTGTAAACTTTGTCACTCGGGGAGACAAAGGCGGCCGGGTGTGGTGCTAGCCACCCACCTTTCCGGTGTGTCGTGCCGGCCTTCATAGGTTCTCTCTAACAGCTCTTGCCGCAGTAGTATGTTAAGGCTATATGGGGGATCTTTGGCTTTGTTTTTTTCTTTCTATGTACAGTGAGGGAAAAAAGTATTTGATCCCCTGCTGATTTTGTACGTTTGCCCACTGACAAAGAAATGATCAGTCTATAATTTTAATGGTAGGTTTATTTGAACAGTGAGAGACAGAATAACAACAAGAAAATCCAGAAAAACGCATGTCAAAAATGTTATAAATTGATTTGCATTTTAATGAGGGAAATAAGCATTTGACCCCCTCTCAATCAGAAAGATTTCTGGCTCCCAGGTGTCTTTTATACAGGTAACGAGCAGAGATTAGGAGCACACTCTTAAAGGGAGTGCTCCTAATCTCAGCTTGTTACCTGTATAAAAGACGCCTGTCCACAGAAGCAATCAATCAGATTCCCAACTCTCCACCATGGCCAAGACCAAAGAGCTCTTCAAGGATGTCAGAGACAAGATTGTAGACCTACACAAGGCTGGAATGGGCTACAAGACAGACCATTGCCAAGCAGCTTGGTGAGAAGGTGACAACAGTTGGTGCGATTATTCGCAAATGGAAGAAACACAAAAGAACTGTCAATCTCCCTCGGCCTGGGGCTCCATGCAAGATCTCACTTCGTGGAGTTGCAATGATCATGAGAACGGTGAGGAATCAGCCCAGAACTACACGGGAGGATCTTGTCAATGATCTCAAGGCAGCTGGGACCATAGTCACCAAGAAAACAATTGGTAACACACTACGCCGTGAAGGACTGAAATCTTGCAGCGCCCGCAAGGACCCCCTGCTTAAGAAAGCACATATACATACCCGTCTGAAGTTTGCCAATGAACATCTGAATGATTCAGAGGACAACTGGGTGAAAATGTTGCGGTCAGATGAGACCAAAATGGAGCTCTTTGGCATCAACTCAACTCGCTGTGTTTGGAGGAGGAGGAATGCTGCCTATGAGCCCAAGAACACTATCCCCACCATCAAATATGGAGGTGGAAACATACTTTGGGGGTGTTTTTCTGCTAAGAGGACAGGACAACTTCACCGCATCAAAGGGACGATGGACGGAGCCATGTACCGTCAAATATTGGGTGAGAACCTCCTGCCCTCAGCCAGGGCATTGAAAATGGGTCGTGGATGGGCATTCCAGCATGACCCAAAACACACGGCCAAGGCAACAAAGGAGTGGCTCAAGAAGAAGCAATTAAGGTCCTGGAGTGGCCTAGGCAGTCTCCAGACCTTAATCCCATAGAAAATCTGTGGAGGGAGCTGAAGGTTCGAGTTGCCAAACGTCAGCCTCGAAACCTTAATGACTTGGAGAAGATCTGCAAAGCGGAGTGGGACAATATCCCTCCTGAGATGTGTGCAAACCTGGTGGCCAACTACAAGAAACCTCTGACCTCTGTGATTGCCAACAAGGGTTTTGCCACCAAGTACTAAGTCATGTTTTGCAGAGGGGTCAAATACTTATTTCCCTTATTAAAATGCAAATCAATTCATAACATTTTTGACATCCGTTTTTCTGGATTTTTTTGTTGTTATTCTGTCTCTCACTGTTCAAATCAACCTACCATTAAAATTATAGACTGATCATTTATTTGTCAGTGGGAAAACGTACAAAATCAGCAGGGGATCAAATACTTTTTTCCCTCACTGTACAATCAGATGCGTGTGATTAAAAGCGGACTCTCACCGCTGTGAGGCCGCTGAGCTGCTGGCCGGCGCTCAGCACCACGATGGAGGTGATCTGCCAGCGTACGGAGCGGTCTTGCAGCAGCTTGAGCAGAGACACCGGCCGCCCGGCCACAGCCTGCCTCTCGGCCTCCATGTCCTGCAGCTCGCTCCTCAGGTCGGTGCCAGGGCCACGGAGACGGCGCAGGGCTGACAGGGGGGCGGGGGGGGGGGGGTAAGGTGAGGTGAGCAGGAATGTGGTGGAGGACAGGCGAGCATGTGGAGGTTGGTGGGTCTTGCCGAGATCACAATCAGATGGATCTAGGGATGGGTGGACGTGCGATAGTTCCATTTTATTGTGCAATGTAATTCAGGGACTGGGTGTTGTCTTGGTGTGATCTGCGACTGTTGTTGTTTTGCTGCCTTGCCCCAAGCTTGAATTTGGTGTTTAGAAATCGGCAGGGATATATGTACTTGTGCAATTTGTACTTCTAGAATTTATATTTATTTTTAGCGACTTGATTACCTTTCTCTTTCCTTCACTCCGATTTCCTTTTGTATTGTTTCGTCAACACAACTCGCTGACACCGCACCTCTCGGCGATGAGCTTCACAGCTCATCGTATTCTTCCAGGATAAATAAAGATTATGATTCTTCGTCTGCGGCGGTGGTGCCCGAGCAGACGAATCGGTGGACCTCGGAGCGAGTGGGCGGAGGTGACGGCGACAGTCTCACCGGCCAACGCGCCGTGGCGGTCTCCGCGGTCGATGAGCAGAAACCGCGGGCTCTCGGGGAAGGCGGGCAGCGTGGCGAGCTGCACGAGCGCCGGCAGCGCCGTGAGGCCCAGCAGCAGCGGCCACTCCTTCTCGCTGCCCAGCACCTCCCTTGGGTCACCGAAAACAAAGGCAAAGATCCCCCGTATGGCCTTAACAGACTATCTGGGCAAGTGCTGTTAGCGAGTACCTATGAAGGCCGGTATGGTGCACGAGGGGGAGGATGGCCAACACCACGCCCGGCCGCCTTTGCCTGCCAAGTGGCAATGTTTACACACCGCACCAGGTACTCATTTGAGGCTGATTCGACCTCGGGGAGGCCCAGGACCGGTTCAGATAAATCGTCACTGTTGTTTGCCGTGAGCTGGAATCAAACTCGGGTCGCCAGGTTTGTAGCGCAGCGCGCTAACCGCTACACTACCGCTCCCCACAAAGCTTGCCCCACTACGGCTATCATCATCATCATCAGCAGCATTATCATTATCAACAGCAGTATTAGATATCATCAGTGATATTGAATCGCACCTCCAATAAGCACGGTCGGCTATGTAGAAGTTCAACATATATCGTGAAAATGTATATTGCGGCGACAACCCTAGCTCACACACCTACACACGGCTTGCACGTGCACACCTCACACATATACATGCACACACCCACCTCTGCACACAACAACAACCGCCATTCGCCACGAACTGGTGGTGATGTCACCACGGCACTTGTGCCAGGCTAGGTGGAGTGTCGAAAACTCGCTGGCAGGAGGTCACGGGACAGACCCAGATGCCATGGGTTGACTGACTGTGATGACTGGCAGATGCACCAGCTGTGGCCCCGTTCTGTGCCAACTTGCTGTGATTCAGCCGCCCGGCGCAACACACACATCTGCAATACCAACCCTTCACAATCGGACATTGTCTCCTCTCCTCACTGCCCACCACTCAACCGCTCCCCCCCCCACTAGGACCCGGAATCCGGACCCCCCCCCCCAGTACCCACCGCAGACTTGCCACCTGCGCTACCACGATGCCCAGCGTGAGGAACACGATGCAGGACAGGGACAGGGCCCCCCGCAGCCGCTGTGGGGCACTCTCACCCAGGTACATGGGCTGCAGATTCAGCCCCATGCCTGCAATGCACGGTCGGGAACAGCCGCTGTCAATCCGCGCCTGGATGTAGGCCTGCAAACTGAAGTCAGACGGCTCTGCCACAGTTAGCATGATAATCGTTTGAACCGCTTGCGAAAGGGAGGTCATTCCGCCAGCTACCTACAAGGGTTGCCACCCCGTTCTGGTTTTCTCAGCATCGCACCCGTTTGACGAAGCTGTCCTGGGAAATCTGAACGTATTTTCGGGACCCCTAAAATGTCAGTTTTTTTGTCAGTTGTGTAGCATATTAATAATACAAAATTACACCACTCAAGACAATGCATTTACAAAAAGTTGTCTCCTCTTCCGGTACTGTGAGATGTTCATCTTTCCCAATGATATGTCCCGGGTTTTGTTTTGTGTATCGCCGAGGTGGCAGGGCTGCTACCACGGTGGAGTAATGGTTGGCACACTTCACTTGCAATCCCGAGTCCACAGGTTGGATTCCATCTCCCGCGCGCAGCGATTTAAAAAAATGGGGCAAGTTGCTAACATTCCATCGCCTCAGTCCTCCCAGCAGGATAAACGGGTACACGACGGTTAAGTCGATTTGCAGGTCATGCGTGGTGAGATAAAGTGTGGGTACTTCAGCCTTTCTGAAGCCATCTGGCCAACGTGCAATATTAGGCCAAATTCCCTCGATAGGGGCTTGAGTTAAGACCCTTGTTATCAGTTGACTCAGCCCATCCTCTCTACGGGGTCATTAAAAATAGGTACCGCTTTGTGGAAGAGTCAACAGTGGTTGTCCTATGGATTGGACTCACCCGCGCCATAGGAATGTGGAATTTCCACCACTGGCTCAGGGCTGTAAACAGAGAGACGAGCATTGCATCCATGCTCATATCAGCAGGAAATAATTATCAACTTGACTCGACAGAGCTCCCTCTGGCGGAAGCCCTCCTGCCACCAGTGGCCGTGAGCAGGCAGTTTATTTTTATTTTTTACCAGGTAAGGCTCACTGAGCTATGTAGCTCTTTTTCAGAAGTGACCTGGCCACAAATGACAGCTCAACGAAGCGGCATATCGCGTGGAAATGTATAGCAGCTAAATACTCTAAATGCATGGAAGCAAAAATCGGAGGACCCGGAGAAAAACATCTATGCAACCACAGGGAGAGAGACATGCAAACTCCAAATATACAGCAGGCGTCAGGGTCGGGATCGGTCCCATGACCTCCTGCATACCAGGCGAGGTAATTAACATCTCACCACCGTGGCGAGATGTTAACTACCTCGCCTGGTATGCAGGGCTGTGCCAGCAGAGGCAGCAATCCCCGTCTCGTACCAGCGTTGACCCCGGCGAGCAGGCGTCCCACGATGAGGATCTCATAGGAGGCGGCGGGGTGGGAGCCCCACATGAGTGCGGCGCCCAGCAGCGCAAACACGTTGTTGAAGAGCAGAGTGCCTCTCCTGCCAGGTGAGGTTAGAGAGGGGTGGGCAGGGTGAGAGGGTGGGCAGGTGAGAAGGCGAATAGGTGAGAGGGTAGGCAGGTTAGAGGGTGGGCAGGTGAGGATAGGCTGGTGGGAGGGTGAGTTGGTGGGCAGGTGATAGGATGAATAATTGGGAGGATAAGACGGTAAGCAGATGAGAGGGTGGTCAAGAGAAAGGTTAAGCAAGTGAGAGGGTGGTAATGTAGAGGTCGTTGGGAGTGCCTGTAGCTGAGAGAGTGAAGTTGAGTACGTGGGACAGCAGGTGAACGGGTGGGCAGAATAAATGTGGTCGAGGGTCGGATCACCTCCCCTTGACCCTCTCACCTGTCGCAAACCCGACCGATCCCCAGGCTCACCTGCCCATGCGACGGGAGAGCGAACCGGCGAGCAAGGCGCCCAGGAAGCAGCCGAGCGTGAAAATGGACACGATGATTGACCACAGCAGCGTGAGCTCGTGTCCGCTCAGTGGGGAGGCCCAGAGGCGCGCGTGGGTGACGTTGACAAACCTCTGGATGAACTATAAACGACGCCAAGAAGCAAAAAAAAACATTTTTTTCATTTGAGTGGCACTCAACCGCCGTGTAACGATCCATTACAGAATGTGTCTCACGCTTACTCAAAGAAGACAACGCGCATGAATTAACACGTGCGAGGATTGGAAGTTGTACAGCCCCTTTTGTCACTCCGCTTCGAGAGGAAGGCCTCCTCAAGCCATTGTTGGTCGTGAGGATTGTTCGACCATACTTCACCATGCGGGTCATTGGAGATTGATTGCCGGGTTTATGGCTCATTGCGCTAATTTCTGCGCCACCACTCCCCCACAATTATATCTGATTTTTGCAAATGTTGCGAACATATTACCTTTAGGCTAATGTAATGGATGGCAGGAGACAGTAAAAATTATTTCGTATGGCTGATGTAGATGTAGAGGAACAACTACAATTCACATCCAGTTGGTCAAGCCAGATCACCGCGTCGGGAGTAGCGGAGTGTATCGCTGTTTTTATGGATCGGGTATCCACCACTACCATTGAGATGGATGGTGGCGATGTGGTAAGCGATGATAAAAACAGCGGCGATGTAGAGTTTGTATGCTGTGGAAAACTGATGACCATGCAGATATGGGTCCATCAACTCATCTAGATTATTCAGCCATTCACACATTTTAACAGGCACGATGAATACAGAGTTGGTTAGTCAGAATTTGTGGAGTCACCTCGGTGTGGAATTGGCGAGTAGAGATGACTAAATTTTACGGACATTGGTTCTACAAGACTCGGAGGCCTTTGTGTGCATCATGAAGGTTGTTTACTCGATAACAAAAAAACTCAACATACTTAGGGCTATTGGCCAAAACGTCGCCTATTATATACTTTTCCTTTTCAGGCCAAAGTGTTATGGACATAATGTGTGTGAGTTTTTTCTCGAGTTGTCTTAAGCTTGTGCACCACCTAGATATCTCAAACAAAATGTTTTAAGTTGTCTTAGCAACTCTGGTAAACAGCAGAGATCAAGCAGAAGACAATGGTTAATTTACATGGAGCAAACAATTGACTGAGAGGTTGATTAGAAATTAATTATTGTGGCAATAGATCGGGGTTCGCGTATAACGACGCAGTGCCCGATCCACAAATACGAAGGAGACATCGCAGCGATACACTCCGCTGCTCCTGACGCGGTTGTCCGGCTTGACCACCTGAATGTGAAACTGCGGTTGTTGCTCTCCATCTACATCAGCAGCTGTACGGGAGAAGAAGACGTGTTCACGTCCACACCAGCTGTCAGTGCCCGGTTCACACCGGGTGAACAAACGATCCTCCCAGAGAACCAGATCTTCTTTTCGACGAATCATCGCTGCCGACCACCCCCATAGTTGAGTTTTGGGAGATCTGGCAGGAAACGTAAAACGCGGAAGCAACTGGAAAAGTTCTGCACGTGACGGAGAGAACGCGTGCGTGGAGAGAGAACTGGGAAAATGAAGTTGGACACACCTGGATGGAGGTGGTGTGATAGAAGGCAAAGCAAGCAATTGTGTTACACACTTGTCCAACACGTCGTTCTTGTTCGTCACATGCAATTGAGGTTTGTCCATGTGGAGCGGTGACGCAGTGATTATCACACCACAAACCAGTCAAATAAGTTTGATTCCTGGCCATGGCTAACATCAGTGGCAAGTGATAGCCGAACCGGTCCCGGGTCCGAACTTCACCAATCCTCACTGACAAGCGTGGAGAAGTATATGATCAATACAACTACCATGGCCGACGAGGTGTGGGGGAAGGCCTTCGTTCATCAGCGGATTGACACGGGGGGCTGTAAAGTGAACGTGTATTATTTGTGGGCGTTGTTTTACGGGGTCTGCCAGTGCTTCGAGCACTACAACTGCTGCTGTAAGTGCAGCCTTAGTGGTGAGCAGGGAGGTCCATGACGGTGTCGCAACTACACGCACCCCCGTGGGGGCGCTGATGACCGCCACGTTGAAGCCATACTGAAAGCCGCCTCCGATCCCGGCCGAGAAGCACATGGCGCCCAGCAGTAGCCAGGGCTCCTGCAGGGTGGCAGGCGGGGAGCCAGGCAAAATACAAAGACAAAAAACAATCAATCACCCGTATGGCCTTAACACTGCGGGAACAAGTGTAGTTAGCGAGCACCTATGAAGGTCGGCACGGCATACGAGGGAGTGGGTACCCAGCACCACACCGTACCAGGTACTCACTTGAGACTGAGTCGATCTAGAGGAGGCCCTAGAACCGGTTCAAATAATCGTCACTGGTGTTGACCATGAGCGGGAATCGAACCTGGATAGCCGGGTTCGTAGCGCAGAGCGCTACCCGTTGTGCCATCACTCCTCATGGGGATACAGACAGACAGCCCACGGGGTCGGAAACTTGACTATTATAGACGACCCCGTGGCGATATGAGTTGTGCCATTTCAAACCGATTGATTGTGACTGCATGCATTTTAGCCTCACCAATCGGGTACCAGAGGAGAATAGTTTCACCCTGCCAACATTTTACTGAAAAAACCCACAGTGAGCCTATAGTATTAATATTATTCGCAGTGTTATGATAACGCTACAGTCTCACGACGTTTCGGCCACAACACAAGTAGCCTTCTTCTTTATTTCCATTCAACGCTACATTGTTACGTTAACGTGACCCGCCAAAGTGAAAGTCCTATTCAGCCCTTGGTAAGAAATAAACAAGGGTTTCCCCAATCCTGCTACAAAGACAACGGATCTCCCTTGTTGCATTTTCAGCCCCAAACGCTGTTAGTGAGCGCCTATAAAATGGGTGGTGTCGCCAGGACCACCGCAGGGCTGATGTTTAATTCCACCGCACCAGATGCTCATTCAAGGGCGAGATGACCTTTGGGATGAGGCTCGGGACCGGTTCAGATCTTCACTTCTATTAAGCCTCGGGAATGAAACTCGGGTCACTGGGTTCGTAGCGCAACGCATTATCCACTGCACCGTTGCTCTCCATGCAATACAGTCAATAATAATAAAGATCCCCCGTATCGCGTTCACAGACTGTTGGGGCAAGTGCTGTTTGCGAGCACTTTTGAAGGCCGGCACGGGACACGAGGGGATGGGTGGCCAACACTACGCCCGACCGCCTTTGTCTCCCTAGTGGTGATGTTTACACATACCAGATACCCATTTGAGGCTGAATCGACCTAAGAGAGACCCATGACCGGTTCAGACAATCGCCACTGGTGTTGGCCGTAAGCAGAAATCGAACTGGGGTGGCCGGTTTTGCATCGCACTAACTGCTACACTACCGTACACATATATACACAAGTTTTATAATTAACAGCCCCTTTTAAAATCCACGAATGGATGAAGGCCTCGCCACGCCGTGTCGGTCGTGGGAGTTTGACCATACTTCGCCACGCTTTGTCAATGCAGGCTGGTGTAGAGGCGAGCTGCCCAGGACCGGTTCTAATATCACGGGCTACTGATGTTAGCCGTGAGTGGGAATGGAATGCAGGTCGCTTGATTCGCACGCACACATAAAATACACACAAACACTCGGTGTATATCTAGAGATATCCGCATATACATGCGTCTCTCCATGGCACAGTATGTTGTTTTTTTCATTACAGTACTTGGTTTATTAATAAAGGTCATATGTCCATTATATATCTTAAGAATGATTTACACTATCCGTCAGCCCTTACTGAAACCATGGAGGTTACGTGTACAGACCTTTGTTAATGTTTAGGGGTCTCCCCCTACCGTGCTGGTCGTGGGGGTTCGTTGACCATACTTCTCCACGTTGGTTCGTGAGGGTGGGTGAAGGCATCTAAACGTTTACGGTTCTTAGAGCTTGCCTATATCAAAGAAAAGTTGCAATATAATGCAAGTCAAAGCGTCTCCCTTCTCGATTCCGCATTTCCCACGGCGGGGCTCGTCCGTCCAAGATCCACTGAGCTGGCATCGCTACCCATCATCTTATGAATTCTCCCTGCCGCAACCTTAAATAAGGGGCGCCGCAGTGGAGAGATGTTAACTACCTCGCCTGGTATACATGTAAGCCGTGGGTTCGATCCCGACCCTGACGCCTGTTGTATATTTGCATATTCTCCTCGTGGTCGCGTGGTTTTTTTTCTCCTGGTCCTCCAGTTTTTTTCCATCCACATTTATAAACATGCGTTTAAGAGTATTTGGCTGCTAGATATTTCCACGTGATAAACAACTTCGTTTAGCTTATCATTTGTGGCCAGGTCGCTTCTGAAAATGAGTTATGGAGCGCCTAGTGCGCCTTTACCTGGTATAATAAAATATTGCTTTATTGTTTATTTTAGGTGGCGTCTCACGAATCTGTTGGCGCCACTGCCTCGCCAGACGCGTGGCTTTTCGTCGACTTACCTTGTGACCAGAGGGTCCTTTCTCCTCGAAAATGAGGGCATCGGTCTCGCTCGGCTCCCCACCGTCTTTCGGCATCACGCTCTGTCCACGGGACTCCCGGAGAGGCGATTCCTTTTCAGCCCTCCGTCCCCGCCAGCCCAAAGAGACAGCCAACCAGGCTACCAACCCATTCCCAGCCAGCCTAAGCCAACCAAAGCCCTATCGCCTTCCCCACCCACCCTCGTGTTCTATAAATCAGCGGACGGGTGGTAGAGAGGGAGGGAATTGAGAGGATGGGGCTAGAATGAGAGAGAGAAAGATCTCGCTAGCCCACCCCCCATCATCGCCACCATTATTGTCACATGTCCCATTGCCGACGAACGACAAGTTACACGTTTAAACAAAATCGTCTTGTGCATTTTGTCCGAGAGACAGCGTGCTCTTTGTGCGTGGAGACGAGTGGTTTCTTGTTCCCGTGATGAGTTTTTTTTACTTTAACACACACACAACATTTATACGCGTGCGTGTGTATAGAGCCGACAGCTGTCGCTAAAGAAAAATTGTATTCCTTTGTCCTTCTTTGAGGAGTTCCCATGTGCACAAGTCATTTACTGGCACATCGGAGTCAGAGACGTTTGGTAACTTGTACAACTTTTCACGAACTCAGTAAACACGTCAACGTTTGGCCAACTGTGGCATGTCGTTGGTACTGTTCGTCCCAACGTTGACCCAAACGTTCCATGTTTACTGGCAACTAGTTTCGAGATTTTGTAACGTTTCACGGTTCAGCGTAGTGGGAGTTATTTGACCATACTTAACCACGCTGGTCAGTGTGGGTTGGTGAAACTGGGGAGCATAGACGGGAGTCCAGTACAACATTGTTCTGTACTGTCCTCACGCAGAAGCCTACAACCGCCCGTCCTATAAGCATTGTGGTTGCCCCATACAAATCACTCTCCAGGCGCAGCCGTGCTCTGCTCCCGAGATCGGGCGCATTCCAGGCGATTTGGTCATTGGCCAAACGCAAAAAAAATCTAGATTTGAAGTTTTCGTGACTACAAAGTCACGTAGGTAAAAAATAAATTAAATCACGACGTTTCGGGCGCAACACCAGCGTCCTTCTTCAGGTGGGGACAACGTAGCGAAAGCACTGAAGAAGAACCGCTTGTGTTGCGCCCGAAACGTCGTGATTTTATTTATTTAAAATTTTTTACCTACGTGACTTTACTGAAAAAAAAACAAAGAGTATGAAACTCAAAAAAAGTATTATTTATAACTGGGTGAGGATTACGGCTCAACCTTAACCATAACCTGAATGCGGTTAGATCGGCAAAATGGGAGGCAAACGTATGGCACTTCTTCATGAAGTTTGGGTGGTCTTAGAGGCGGGGCGTACTCGTAATTAATGAGGGAAGCTCATTGAGGCGGATTGTGAGTGCGCTTGATGTGTCCGGTGGGGATGTGATTAGCAGGGAGAGTCGCTGCCCATCACGTGTGAGCGATTACTTGTCGGTCACGGGTCTCGCCTTTTGAGGTTCTCTGTAGGTGACAAAGAAAACTTCATCATCATAATATGAGAATATTATTGCGGGCCGGAAAACCGTACGTTTCACACATGATAAATGTGTAAAAACACACGGCCATCTGCGCATTATGGTCATATTGACGAACGTCACCATCAAAGTAAATTTGAGCATTTTCTTTGGTTCTATTCGGTAAAGTCACGTAGGTAAAAAATAAAACAACAAAAATCACGACGTTTCGGCCACAACACAAGTGGCCTTCATCAGGTGAAGGGACCGTGCAGTCACGAAGACATTCCTACGCTGTCTTCGTGACAGCACGGTCCCTTCACCTGATGAAGGCCACTTGTGTTGTGGCCGAAACGTCGCGATTGTTGTTGTTTTATTTTTTACCTACGTGACTTTACCGAATAGAACCAAAGAGTATGGATCCTTGCAATCACGAAAGCTTCAAATCTAGAATAAATTTGAGCAAACGTGTGTTTTTCTGGCCTGTATTATTATTTTACACGACGAGGTTTTCTTACATTTAACACGTGGGGCTTTCGTGACCAATTTACGTTTCATAATGAATTGTTGGGTCAGATCGCGTAAGTAGATGGTGTGCCGTATGCCCCACTCCAGCCGACGCGGCCAGTGAATAAAGTGGTCACGTGGACCAACGTGGCCACGTTATTACTGCTTCGGGTACGACTTTTCGCTCGTAGTTACAACCAACAACATCAGGCAGTCGCCAGGTAGTTACAGATTTGGTTATCGTTGGCATCCGCCAAGTTGATGGGCCTCGTAGGATGGATGTAGGCACTCCAGATATGTGGTTTTCAGAGTCAGACTTTGCAGCAGTTGAGAATTGGTGACTGTAATGTGCTGGTGTGTTCTAATTACAACCAAATCGGACTGCAGTTACCGATCATTTATACCTCTTCTGGAAATTCTGCTGATGACTGTTTTTAAATTGCATGTGTACACGAATGCTGTGTTGTTTGAAACTATAGGAGTATCTAAAAACGGTGTTAAAACACAGCGAAACCTTTCTTAGCGAAGAGAGGGCAATTGTAAGAGCACGCGTGCACTTTTGAGGTGGCGTAGTGCCACCCCGTGGGCACACAAAGTCATAGCTTATTCAAAACATGGTGGACCTTTTTCATCATTAGACCTCCTTTGCCAGTACCAAAATGTAATAATAGGGGGTTTCCCCTTTTTTCTGGCAACAAAACTGAAGCCTTTTTACGAGGATTCATGTCTGCATTAACCACAATACCTGCAGTCAAAATACAAACAGAAGAAAGAAAGCCGTACCTTGGTGTGGACCAATCAGTTTCAAGGATAATGCATATATTATCATAGTATATGTTTTGATTTAAAACTTTCGTGACTGCAGTGATTCATATTCTTGGTTCTTTCGGTAAAGTCACGTTGAAGGGAAACAATAAAATAATAAAATATATAACAATAAAATTCTCACGACGTTTCGACTGCAACACAAGCAGTCATCATCAGGTGTGAAAACCAACGGCAAGAACATTTTAAAGAAGTGGCGGTTTGTATTTATTTATTTTTTAAACGTTAGCACCACGGATAGCGATTTGACAGTTTGTTTAGATGGACGAGTCCATCTATGTTCGGAAAAGAGGAGGGGGGAGACGAAACATTAATGTGTGCTGTCTGAAAGCCACCGTAAGCATGAACAATCAATTAAGACCCGAAATGGTTTATCAAATCCTTCCAATGATTGCTAAGCCAGAATCCATCTTCTTGGTTGCAATTGTCTCTGTGTTTGTATATGTGGATAGCCTCATGAACGAATCTCTCATGGTAGCCAGATGGCTTGCAAAGAACCTCTGTCTTGGAGAAGTCAATGTCATGTGAGCCTATTGAATTATAACAGTGATCTGCCACGGCCGAGGTGTTGGTCCTACCGTGTTTAAGGTCTGCTTTGTGTTCACGAATGCGGTCCGAGACATGTCGTTTGGTTTTTTCAATGTAACTACTACCACAGAGGCAACTTAGTTTGTAGACACCAGGGTACTGTATGTCCGGAATCACATCTTTTACAGACGGAACCAGATCACGGATTTTATGTAATGTGTTGAATCGGACCTGGGTCTTGTGTTTATTCAAGATTTTGGAGATCTTTTTTGTGATTCCCGCAATGTAGGGTAAAGTGATGGTTTTGAAAGGCTCCTCAAGAGGGTCCTTCTTCATGGTTTTAGTGATAGCTTTGCGGATTGTATAGTCGGAGTAACCATTAGCCTTAAGAGCTTGGTGTACGTGTTTGAGTTCACTGCCTATGTGTTCCTGGTCGGATATGCATTGGGCTCTATGGTGCAGAGTCTTGATGAGTGAATTCTTCTGTGATGGATGGTGGTGGGAATCCGGTTTCAGATAAGCATCCGTATGGGTAACTTTCCTGTACACAGAGTGGCTCATTGAACCATCAGGTCTCTTTTTTATTAGGACATCCAAAAAAGGTAGGTTGCAATATTTTTCGACTTCCATGGTAAATCTGATAGCTGGGTGTATGAATTGATGTGGTCGAGGAATTGGTCTAGAGCAGGCCGGCCATGTGGCCAGGTGACAAAAGTGTCATCCACGTAGCTCTTCCATAAGGTTGGGCGCAGAGTGGCAGTCTGGATGGCGTCAGTCTCAAATTTCTCCATGAAAATGTTGGCTATAACCGGAGATAGGGGGGAGCCCATTGGGGTGCCCTCAGTTTGTTTGTAGAAAGTTCCATTCCAAGTGAAGTATGTATTGGTTAAGCAGTGTCTCACCAGGGGGGTACCTCAGTGTTTAGTCCTTAATGAACCAAGTCTTCAATGATTGCGATGGTGTCAGGTACAGGAACTTTGGTGAGTAAGGAAACTACATCAAAACTGACAAGCAGGCCGTCTGGGGACAGGGAAATACCCTTGATTGTCGATACCAGGTGAGTAGAATTTTGTACCGCAGAGGTGTTTTTTCCAGTGAAAGGCCGCAGGATTTCAGACAGAAAACGAGCCAGTTTGTAGGTGGGGGAGTTGATAGTAGAGACGATGGGACGAAGGGGTGTATCTACTTTATGTATTTTTGGTAAGCCGTATAATCTTGGTGGCCTGGCAGCAGAAGGTTTCAACGAAAACTGTTTGGTTTGATCAATTAATGCGGTTAAAGAATTACTCGACGATAGCAGCTATACAAAAATAAAAAGAGATCCCACCAACAGCTTCGTCACACAAACCAACAAAATAATTTATGTTTTGTTTGCATTTTGACTGCAGGTATTGTGGTTAATGCAGACATGAATCTTTGTAAAAAGGTTTCAGTTTTATTGCCAGAAAAAAAGGGGAAAACCCCTATTATTACATGGTGTACCTTTTTTGCCAGTATCAAAAGTATGAAAAAGATAAGAAGAGGGTTTACCCCTTTCTGGAAAGAAAACAGGAGGTATTTACACCATTGGAACCTCCTTTACCAGTAGCAAAATATGATAATTGTTTTTTTACCCTTTTATCTGGCAACAAACTGACACCTTTTTTTTTACAAGGAGTCATGTTTGCATTGACCACAATACTTGCGGTCGAAATGCAAACAAAACAACTCTGATAATGTATGAGCTGTCCTTGAAATTGATTGGTCCACACCCGAGACAGCTTTCCTTTAGAGCCTCGTCTCACATGGGTGTTGGACCAGATGACGCCAAAAGGTGCCTTAAGATGTTAAGATGTTCAAACACCTAATAGATTCATTTTGTAAAGCATCAAATCTGCATTAACCGCACACCGTACTTGTAAGCAAAACATGCAGACAAAGCTTGCTCTGATAAAATATGCATTGTCTTTGAAAGTGATTGGCATCCACCAAAAAAGACTCCCGTTTTATTACCACAAACGATAAAAACCTCTTACTCTTTGTAAAGTCACGTAAGTTAATTTCTTTTATTTTCTACCTGCGTGACTTTACCGAAAGAACCAAAGAGTATGGATCCCTGCAGTCACGATAACTTCAAATCTCGATTGATAAAAACCTCTTCTTGATTGTTTTTCACAGCTTCTTTGAATGTTTGCATTACGCGTTGGTGTCTGTAACGTATCTCTCTACAGCAGCGGTTCTTCTTCACCTGGGGGTGCACGCTGCACCCCCTGGGGGTGCGAGATGCCCTTTCTGGGGGTGCGACACATTGCCAGATTTTTTTTAGAAGGTAAATAATTGAAAACACAAATTAAGTACTGGCATGTAAGTTACAACGACTTTGTTTCACCAAACCCTATGCATTTATTAACATGAGACATTGTATACCTTATGTTTATACCCACGTGACTTAACGGAAAGAACCAAAGAGTATGGATTCCTGCAGTCGCGAAAGCTTCAAATCAAGAATGAGACATTTGTTTACGATTGAGAATGAAAGGGGCGCAAGGCTGCAGGAAAGGTTAATAAGAGCCACAGCTCTACAGCATCGACATGGCCGTGCGACTCTTGGTTCTTGACGAGTGACACAATGACGAGAAATAAACTTCGACTTTTGAGATGAGGCGCCTCCGTAAAAACTCGGTCTCAAATTCCATCTCGAACGACCTCGATGTGTGTGGAGGTGACTAAAACACATTGCGGGGTTCACGAACCACACTGCTGCCAGTAGGAGCACGGGGGGGGGGGTGAAGCTCCATGCGATGTTGTGTGCACTTTTAACTTTTTTAAAATTCAATTTTCTTCGTCACTGTCCACGTTGTGCCCGGCACAGGTAACGTAGGACCCATTAAATGCGCTCTGCTTCAGGCACATGGGTATAAGTGTTGCTTTAGGGGACGTTCATAAATGACGTCACGCACCTAGGGGGGGGGGGTCAGACATTTGTGACGAGGGGGGGGGGGGTGTGAGAAATGTGACGTCACATCAAAATGCGCAACTTTAAATAAATATAGAATTGTTATAACCTAGTTGTTATAACAACACTCCTACAACATCAGAGTGCAGCGCCACATTAAGTACGCACTACAATGCAAATAGTTTAAAGCGATTTGAAGCATGTTTTATTTTCAAGATGGAAATATGGTTTTGGGGGGGTGGGCAGAGCTTTGTGACGTCATATTTGAGGGGGGGTTCTGCCTTTTTGTGACGTCATATTTGATGGGGGGGGGGGGAGGGTCAAAAAACGTCCAAAATCGCGTGACGTCATTTATGGACGGCCCCTTATCACTCGTTTAAGTATGCAGCGATTGGCATGTGCTTGGGACAAACGTTTGAACCGACGTTGGCGCAACGTTTCCTTGGAAGTGTGTTGATTAGTTTTGTCTAAATTAAGTGTTTGTTTCTCTCTCTCTCCTGGCCTGCGTGTTTTAAGTCACCTGCCAAGTTGTCCCACCAACAATGTTGACACAAAACCCGTTGCGCCTCAATCTTTTTGCTTCCCGTCACGACTTGTGCCGAGCCTAACTTTGCATGAGTGTTTTGCCAAGTTTCAAAAGTATTATTAAATGCACGGTAGTTTATTTTCATCAGTTGGTAATGACGAGTTCAGCAATTTACGTGAACCCCATCGCCTCTGTTGGTGCTGTTGAATGCGAATTGTGCTTATGGGTATCCATGGGCCTCAAGCAAATAACGAAACACTCAACGTTTTAATTAAATGTTACGAAACGTGTTTTTATACAACGTAATACTCGCTGTGGACACAGCACTGTACACTATCATTGCGTTTTAGACCATTACATTGCCCTCCTCTGTTAGGCGCTCCCCAAGGCATTAAACTTTAACTTCAAAACCATGACGGTGCGATTTCGAGCTGCTTTTAAAACAACTTTTCATTTCTTAAACTACACTTAAAAAACATTCCACAACCAAATCGCGAAAGTAAACAAATATATTTGTTTAGTTAAAAATGTTTCAAAAGTTTATCTTGAGGGGAATCCCAAAATGAACCGTCCGCCCATCAATTCTAAATACTGTACTTGATAAGTGCAAACATCTCACACAAACCCTTATTAATGCACACAACCGGCGACACACTTCATCGATTGATCAGCCATAGTGTAAATTATATTTATATAAATGTTTAACAATATAAATAAATTTTAAAAGGGCCGGCGGATGGCGACACGCGGAGGAGTTTTTAAGCGCTCGGGCCGCCGCCTTCGCATTTCGCCCCTCCCCCCCCCCCAGACTCGACGCTCGTGATTGGCCCGCGACACCGCGCTCGACCAATCGCAAGCCCCTCCTCCAGACTCGACGCTCGTAATTGGCCCGCTACACCGCCCTCGACTAATCGCAGGCGCTCCGTTCCCCCCCCCCCCTCTCAGACTCGACGCTTGTGATTGGTCCGCCACACCGCGCTCGACCAATCGCAGGCGCCGCTCGCTCGACGCTCCGCCCCCTTGGGTGTTCTCTTTAAAAGGCGTGGGGGGGGGGGTGTCCAGGGGTTGCCGGCTTCACGCGAGCTCAGACAGAGTCGAGAGCGAGAGAGAGGGGCAGGCAGAGCCGGGGACCTCACTGGGACCACAACGGGAGGGACCACGCCAACATCGCTCCCTCTTAGACCCACGACTCACGCGGTGGAGGTGGTGGGTAGGGGAGAGAGAGAGGAGTGTGAGCAGAACTCGCGACGACGTTTTTTTTTGGTGTGTGTGTGTGGTTTTATAACAACAACAATAACAACAAGCCCCGGCAGTTATGTCCGGCAAACTCAAGCAGCGCAGCTCGGCCAATGCCGCCGAAGAGGCTACCACGTCGCTGAACGAGAAGATTCTCAAGCAGTGCCACGTCCTCTACACGGATGGCGACAGTGGTGGGTGGTGCCCCCCCCTTCCTCCTCCTCCACTCCGTGGGGCGGGGCAGCGAAGCGGCCTTGCGCTCTCTACTGCTGCTCTGCCTTCCCGACCCGTACCTCCTGCCCACAGTTGCCCAATGCCTTCGCTTTGATTCCCCCTGACATTGCACTAAAGACTTAATCTACTTTGCTTCGTCATGCCGTGTCCTGTCCTGAATTGACCCCCTTCTTTGCCCTGGCTTACGTGGCCTCGTCTACCGCTGCGCGCCCCCCACCCCCCCCACGCCTTGTTCCGTTCTGCCCCTCTGCTCTTCCTCTGTTGCCTACAGGTTTAGATTGCCCTGCTCTCCCGGGCCTTGCCCCCCTGACTTACCACTTCTGCCTTGTCCTTGCCCAGTTGATTCCCCCTGCTGCCTCGGCCTGCCATTGCCCTTTTCGAGCTTTAATATTTCCAGTTTTCACCCCCCCCCCCACCACCACCTCCTCCTCCCCCCACGTCGTTTTCGACTCGGCCATTCACATTTTGCCTTCCCGTTATTATTATTCGCATGCCCACCCCCACCACCACCTCCCTCCCCTCCTTATAATCCCTGACCCTGCTCGACTTGGGTACCGCCTTGCCCCCCCCCCCGCCCTGGAATTCCCTGTCCAGCCCGCCCCATCCCTTCCCCTGGGGAGCTCGGAGGAGGTCCGTGGTGGTGGTGGTGGCGGTGGTGGCGCCGGTGGTGGTGCAGTGACGTGGCGGTGGTGGCGGTGGTGGTGCGGTGACGTGGCGGTGGTGGTGGTGGCGGTGGTGGTGCGGTGACGTGGCGGTGGTGGCGGCGGTGGTGGCGGTGGTGGTGGCGGTGGTGGTGGTGGTGGCGGTGCAGTGACGTGGCGGTGGTGGTGGCGGCGGTGGTGGTGCAGTGACGTGGCGCTCCAAGGCTCCCCCGGGTGGCTCGACCGCCCATACGTCGTGCCACGTTCTAGGTTCAGGGGTCATGGCTGAGAGATCTGGTGGTGCGAGGTTGGAGTTTGGGGATCGGCTCATCGCTGCCGGTCTCTCGTGAAGAGATTACCTCACCCCGCACCGCAACTCAAAAAAATATATACGTTGATTTTATCTTGTGGATAAGTATGGGCACCGTGTTTGTGTGTGTGTTTACGGCTGTTTTAAGGTTATTTTTAAAGTACGTTAATTGAAAAAAAAAATACTTTAAACTCACTTTTGAGGCTCGTGACATGGCACACTGACCGACGTCACTGCCCCGGTTCCCTGACATGGCACTTCGACTTAAGCGCAATGACGCCACGAGAGGGCTATGGCTGCACGCCAGAGACAATGATTTTGGAATATTTTCTCAAGAGTAAAGTCTTTTTTTGACTCGTGTCAGACAGCCCAGGATACACAACCTAAGTGTGTGTGTGGGGGGGGTGGTTATTTCCTTTGAGGGAGCTATTTCGCGTGGCGTGTTTAATCATGATCTTGGCTATCTCGTGCCTTCCTCGAACACGGATGCCATGTGGGGAGGGTGTGAACACGCCTAAATAACCATGTCCGTGGGGTTTGTGAAATATTTCCAGATGTATCGAGAACCTGAAGTATCATGGGGCATTACTTTTTTAATGGGATGAAACTAATCGTGGGATGATTTTCATGGCATCCCTTGGTATCATGGGATCTTGTTTTTCATAGAACCTGAAGTATGTTTACCTCTGTGCCGCTTTCATCCGGCAGTAGATTGACCATCGCTGATTATGGTAATGGGGTGGCCTTGATCCAGCAGTGGATTGGTCATGGATGATAGCGATGATGGGGAGTCCTTCATCTCGCAGTAGATTGATCTGGGGTGATGATGACGACCACTCCAAATGACAGATTGAGTGGAAAATTCCACCTAAAGTGGTTTATGCAATCGGTCACACAGCCATATTTTTCCCTGTGGGTTATAGATGCCACCGAGGGTGACTTGGACAAATGAATGAGTCTGAGGCTTGGCTCTAAAGTAGCTTTTGAGCAAAGAATGCCACGCCATTTAATGGCCTGGGCGAGGAGTTTGTTATTTTCCCGTCGGAAAGCTACGCCGTTTAATGTTGCTAAACTAAATAGCTGGCGAATGTCATCATCTGCAGCCTGCAGGTGGTATACACACAAAAAAAACATGGGGAGTCGGGGGGTGGGAGAAAGATGATGGCTTTTATTGTTACCATAAAAAAATAACCAACGACAACACAAAACAGTATTGCATGGGGAGAAAATAAATGTTGGAGTGCGCATCAATCAGCGGCAGTGAGTTTGTCATGTGACCTCCAAGGTCGCATAAATCATAACCACTTGGCGCCGTGCTATTGCAGGTTAGGCCTGGCAACTTGGACCCGAAAAAACAGAAGGCGATGATAAAATAGCGATGGCATGCCGATGATGGCATTGCGCATTTACGCAACCAAAAAAAAAATGTAAATGATGTATTTTGACCATTTGCTTGTATGATTTAAGTTTGGTGTTGAACGTACGCTGTTGTGTCCGTGTACATGCACGGGTGTCTGTGCGTTTGCGCGTGGCAGGGCTCATTAAGGTTGCGGGCGACCTTGGCCTCAGTCTGCTGCCGCCCCGGAAGAAGATCACGGTGATGCTGATGGGAAATCACTCCGCTGGCAAGAGCTCCTTTATCAACTGGTGAGAGTGACGACGAGAGCTGGTGCAGGGGAGAGAGAGTGCGTGGGCAGGCTGGGCGTGTGAGTGATGAGTGGTGAGTGGCGGTGCCGCAGTTTGCAGGGCCTTGGCCGCCAGGCGCCCGCCTCGACCGTGCATCTTGACTTTAGTTGCGCGGCGATCCCAAATTGGCATGGATCACGGTTAGCGCAATTTTTTTGCATATTTGTGTTTTAAAAATGTTTGTTGCACGCCCAGCTTGGTTTAAACTTTGGAAATTGTCTTTTTGGTACAGACTGTACCTTTGCATTTTAAAAATATTATGGTTGCTGAGTGCAGGAACAATGGCCGTGATAAAACAACTGTATTGGAAGGTGTAATAGATAAAGTGTTATTAATACGTTTCTTGAATTGAACAAGGTTTTAAGAACTTTGGGCTGGCGGGGGAAGTATGCGTGCTTTTAAATGAAACGTGAATAATGCGTACGTTTTTCTCTTCAATTGCAGATCTAAAATTGAGCCTTGGGTTTTTTTTCCGCCTGCCTTTTGTCGCAGAAAATATTTTGGCAGAAAACATTTTTGAAGTAATCGGAAGAGCAAGGCGTGCAATCACTATGTGGACGAGAGACTTATTCATAGCAGACCACACACTTGCCGAGGGTTACAAACCCCTGCACGGCATCCTCCTTAGCCGCCGTTACCCAGTCTTAACGCGCTCCTCGCTGCAGCCTGCCCTCCCAAAAACCGGTGGTAAATTAAAACTACAACTTACGGAAGCATAGTCGGCCAAAATTACAATTACCAGTGCGATTGTAATTCACGACGAACGACTCGACTCAATCGCAATTGAGAACAGATCTGCTGTGGTCGCCCAGGAAGAGGTGAACAGCAGGGGAGATGGACGTTTTTTTCCCCATCTATACTGTTGTGGGGGCGGTAGTGTCTGAAGATCGGCTGATGTAAAAATGCTCGCACGCTCACAAACCCAAACGCTCGTGTCGCCCCGCCTGTGCTTTCGCAGGTACGTGGAGGAACACCTTCAGAGGACCGGAGTCGCCATAGAAACCCAGGGATTCACGTTCGTCACGAGCGGACGCAAGCGGGAGTCCCTCACCGTGAGCCGTGATTAATGCGTGTATTGTTGCCTCCTCAACTTGCCTCTTTCCCTTGAGAGTGCTACGTAGATTGTTTTTTTTAACGGAAAATGGGGTGACCTGAAATGACGTCGGATGTGGAAATCCAGTTGCATGCAAGTGCTACTTGCAATAATTATGAAACGTTTTGTGATGAGATGTAATGAGGGATGGGGGAGCGTACGAGTGATTTTTATAGCCAAGTGTGATCCCATTGAGACCAAATGTTTTTTTTTGCCATGGAAGTCCTTTAAAAAGAGCAGAGATTTTGTAATATATATGCACACGTAGAATTATGTATGTATGACATACACAGCTAAATGTTACACATGGAGGTGTGTATGTCATACATATATTTCAACCCTTGACAAGTGAAATATTTTATCATGCTGGTCTGTGTCGGTTGGTGAATTAGCAAAGCGGGGAGCATGGGATGCGGGACCATAAAAGAACGGAACAACATTGGATAATATTGCTGCCCACCACTTAGCCCTGCATCCTACAGCAACCTGTTGTGTGCATGGATGATCACCAAGCTAAGCACTTTTCCATGCCCGACCCTACTTGGCTTCCGAAGTCTAATGAGATCGAGTGCATTCTGGGCGATTCATATCAGAGGCACAACAACGCATAGTAAATAAAACACGCGGAAGATGATGAACTTCACTGCGCAGAGGCTTGCTGGTGCTTAAGTTTAATGAAGGCAACGACGCAGTTTAAAATTGCATTCATAATAAGTTTGTTCTCTGGGATCATCTCCACTGATGATGAATCCCTCGGCAAGTGCATTGGACGGGATAACGCTTGGCAACGACACCCCCCAAATTTAGCGCTCTCATTGTAACCGGCTAAACAAAGTTAGCCCAGGGTGCCCATGGAGTGCTCGCTCACGGTAGCCCGCTCGGCTTATTCACGACACGGGGAGGGGGGCGGCGGGGGGGTCAGACGCCGGCTACATATAGCCGTGACGGGGAGCTATTTAGGTGCGGCGTGATCGGATAGCCGGCCTAATTTTAGCGTGCGGACTCCTCGTCATGCCCGCGATTAAGGTCACAGCCACGGTATTGCCACTCGGCCCCACTTCGGATGCACCAGCAAATTCTACCGGAGCCGAGCGTGTGGGCGCGGAGCGAAAGCCGGTTGGCGAGTGGGGCCACGGTGACCTTGCCGATGGTTACGTGTCGCAGGCGGCGGTGGCGGTCGAGCGTAGATTTTGGAGGCTGCGAACCCTGTAAGAGGGGTAATCCACTTGAAAATTGCTTCTCTCTTTCAGGGAAATGCCACTCTCCATCTCTACCCGCACTTCAAGGCCCTGCAGAACTTTGAAGGTAGGCGTCGTCTGTGCAGGAAGGGCGTTGGCTGGCGGGGAGAGTGAATTACGGCAGTTACGGAAGCTGGACAGGTCTGAAAATTACATTACCATAATGAAAACGTGGCGTTTGGCACTGTATTCTGTACTGCTGCGTGAATAATATATGTGTGTCTATATATATACTGCTGCGGTGTGATAACACATGGTACATGTTCTGTAACTCTTATGCCACGGATATTTAACATTTTGATCATTAAGTTCACTCCAAATATGTAAAATTCTAGTGAGTGGCATTTGGATCTTTACGAACAGTATCAAGGTTGTCCAGCAGGGAGTGCTGTATAACCGCACAAATTGAGCCACATGTGGCTTTAAAAAAAAAAGTCGTGCTAACATTCACGGTCAGGTTCATATAATCGTGTATCGAGAATATTTAACAACAAATAATATCCTGACATTTTGGAGCAAGGCATACAAAAAAAATCCACACCGCAAAAAGAAAACCTCAGTTTACAGGTCTGCATTGTGGCAAGCATATCCGTTGTGACTGGTGGTCATTTGGAGACGAGATGGCTGCTACTGGTGGTAAAGGTGAAGGGATATTGTAAAGGTATTTGTTTAGATATCGGTTTGGTTCGGGTTTATTTTTGTTGGAGGGGGTGAGCTGGCATTTGCCGATCGTGATGAGGGCCAGCGGTATTTGTGCAATGCGGTGTGTCCAGCTCGGGGGGGGGGGGGGGGAGGTGGGGGGCCCGTTTCTGCGACACATTTTTCATCTCGGGATTGTCTGGTGGAAAAATTCCCGTACATGGCGAGCCGTCTTCCCCTGGAGTTGGCGCTGGCCATGAGGGGGGGGGGGGGAGGGTTGGGGGTGGAGTGGTGGGGGGGGGGAGGGTTGTGGTGGCGGTGGTGCACGGCAGTGTGGTGACTCATCCAACTCGTAGACTGGCGAGCGGGTGGACAGGCGCATGCGCCGAGCGGTACGCCCTTCGCGAGTGCACACGCACGCTCGCGTACATACGCACAGACGCCCGGCACACACGCAGCCACCCCGCATTTGAAACCAGAGTGGGGCCACGCACGCAGTAGTTGTGCGTCAGATGATGTCACTGTCTCCGTGGCAACGCAGCCATCAGCTGACGGGACGTTGATGTCAGCAGCCCTCCCCATCCTCCCGCCCCTTCTCCTCCCCCCCCCCCCCGAGGCTTTTTTTTTTTAAACTCGCTACGCATTAACTGTCTGGCTTCGGGTGCTGTGGGGGACACCAGCGACACAGAATTGATTTTTTTAAAATGTTTTAAAGTGGTAGAAAAGAAAAAAAATGGATCGTCTTGCGTTGCCGGTTCTGGATTTGGTAAGTAGTATTTTTTTATCGAGTTGAGTTAACTCGTTTTGAAGTGTGATGTGTGTGCGACAGTTTTTTTTTTTCCCCCTCTTTACGTATCTATGTATACATGACCGCTCTATTCCTGTTTTTGCCGTTTCGTATTGCGTTGTCTTTGGAGCTGCTTTACTACGTTTATTGGCCCGTAATCAGCGGCGTTGTTCGTGAAGGCAGACGTGGCAGCGCCACCTCGTTAACTGCCAACGGGCAGGATTCCGAATCCGTGGGTGGGGAGTTTGAGGAGGGTGGGGGGGTGGTTTGCAGCGGATCGGCGGTAACTTTTGGTATTTGTTTCCGTGAACTTGCACTGCATTACGCGTAACGAGGTAGGATTGGAAGCATATGTGGGGCGAGAAACCCTGGCCAGAGCAGAAATGCGACATATCTTCGGGCGCCGTGTGACCCCCTGGCGCCGGGGTGCATTTAAAGGCGCATGTTCATTCGGCGGGGTGGTGGAGGGGGGGGCACCCATTGTGCCGGTAATGATGATGATTAAACGTGTAAAACCGTCGCTTGCGTAATGTACGCTTCTTTGTGCACAAATAGAGACGTTTCGCCCGTCGGGGTGTTTCGTGTAATTGTGTAAGCGGTGCCGCAACAGTCTTTCCAAACCAAACCTTTCGCATCCGTGTAAAAAAAAAAAAATGTTAACCCATACTGTGCTTTCACCATCAGACAAAAAAATAAATCTATCGTTGGAAATGTAATGGCGGGAGGGTTATGCAATGTCATAGTGTGTGCGTGTATATGTATATACGAGGACACGTAGACAAATGTTATCCCAACTCCCTACCCTACATTTGTATTGAATACTGTACTTGTAGTAGAAATAATAATCATAATGTCCTTTATGCAGTGAAGCCTCACTGCCTCTTAAAACTCTCTTTCGAGGAGGATCCTGTACTGGGATGTTTTGGCAAATGCCATATTTTTTTAACGGGTCAATATTTGCTTGCTCCTCCCGTGGCACGGTAACACAGCTTGCGCAACTCTCTCCCTTCTCAGCTACTGCCTCCTCTCGCGCCTTCACCAGCCGCCCCTTTATTTCGCAATTGCTCACATCTCCGCCGGAGTCGGTGCGAGTCAACCCGCCGTACACGCAGGAACTCACGGAAAATCCCCTCGACAGACCAGATGGGGGATTTCAAATCCGGGACAATGAAACCGGCCGTCGCTCGTCCCCCTGGCCGCCCCACTGCAGCCCTTCGCTGGCCAGCTTTAGTTCCGGCCGAGGCGAGTAAAGCTGCCAGTTGAAGAGCTATAGTGGGCGGCCACGCTCAACTCGACGCGCGGGATGGACTCGGCTCAGCTGTCTCCACCATCACCACGACAGCGGCTTACCACCGCCATCACTCGTTTACAACCACACACGATGTTATTTTTTCCGAGCTGCGTCATGTTCCGTTGTTGGTCTGGCACAAACGGCGCAAATGCTTCGCTCTCTTCGTCAATGACGGTCGGTCTGTTTGCACGTTGTTTCCATGATACGCGTGCGATGTTTGTACACCATGGTGGCTTTGTTTGCGCGTACGTATGCTATTTAATTGCGGCCTCGATATTTGCTTTGGTGCCATGCTCCCTACACCTGTGAAGGCGTTTAAGAGTTTTGCCAGGATTTTGGTTGCTGGACCTGGGCGGTTGTAAATGCCGAAAGCCAAAGGGCGTGTCCATTCTCCTGCCCCTGTAAGATTCGTGACGTTAGCATGATTCACCCGAGAAAAATGTGCATGCCTTGTTGGCTAGAACACATTGTTGCCTTTGTGTAATTTTTGTGTTTTTTTTTCTGCCGCCAATAACGTCAGTGTCGTTTCATGAGATGAAGAATCGATTTGGAACTCTAGTAACTAGTTTATTGAGTGGCCCACGGGAAGTGGATTATAAAACTACCCCTGTGAAACCTTCCAAGTGACCTCTGGTGCGCACAGTCGTGGATGGCACACGCCCACCGACCTAGCCAATGTGTTTCATTCTCAGCACTGGAAATTTGCCAAAATTAGTATGGCACCAAATTTAATGGTATGGGGATTTTTTGGATATTCGTCGGATTGGGTGGAGACCAGCTTGTTGCCATCACGCTGGGGATGTTTTTTTTGCTGCGGTGTGGCGTCATTTTATGTGCACTCCCTCCCCTCTCTACCCCCCCTCCCCGCCGCTCCCCGCCGCTCCACTCAGGTGTGTCGGAGTACCTGTGCACGGAGATTTCCACATCCAAGCAGAAGAAGTTCAGCTTGGTGACCTTCATAGACACGCCTGGCCTAGTGGACGGTGACATGAAGTACCCCTTTGATGTGGACAAGGCCCTGCTGGGGCTAGGTAATGTCATTTTGCTTGTGATAAAATATTTTTACCCGTGGCACACCACAGGAAGGAGAGTAGAGTCGAAGGATATGATGCATGGGAAGGGACGAAGAGAAAGATTGGAAAATAAGCAAAAGGGCCAGGAGAGATGAGGATGAAGAGAAGAGGCTACATCACGGCCTCGACGCAGCTGCACAGAGCAGAGTTTTCACAGGGGGCAGGTGGGAGAGGGGAGGGATTCGGTGGGGGTGGCCACACGTCACTTGATTTATGGGAGGCTTGAGTGGATTTGGATATTAATGTACATTACAGTACATTAATCATCAGTGTGGGGTTAGACGGCTTATGCTTGGTGTTTTTTCCACTTCAATCTGCTCCACTTGTGTTTTTGTTTTAACATTTTCATTTTGTTTCATTTCCATTACGTGCTTACCGTTCGTATTTACGTTTCTATATAGTTGCCTTGCACAACATCTTGCACAGAGGCTATACAAGTTCAGATTATTACTGCGGTCTGTGTTTGTGCGCGCACATGTATATGTTTTAATTCCCGGCGACCATTTAGAAATGTCATGTTTCACATCTCATTAACATCCCCCTGGCGTGTGTGTGTGAACATGTGGGGCACAGTGTCTAGCGCACTGCCTCGCAGTCTATTGCAAACCTGGCAACCTGTCATTCAATTCCTGGCCATGGTGGAGTGTCATTAGCTGCCGCTGGGCATTCTGTAGGTCAACCAAGACATAAGTGATTACCTTTGGCCAGTTGCATGTGTGACCTTCAGTAATTGTTTCACTGTACTCCTTTCTTGCTCTTTTAATGACACGAAGTAAAAAGTTACCGTCCGCTGCTGTGACGTGTAAACATCGGCACTGGCGAGACGAACGTGGCCAGGCATGGTGCTGGTCACACCACTCTCGTACCCCTGTTGTCTTCAAAAGGTGCTTGCTAACAGGATTGAAAGGCTAGGCGGAGGGTGTGCCCATGCGTGCGTGCATTGGCACAGTGAGGAGCACGGGCGCTGAATCTGCCAGTCATCTCGGTCGGTTAACCCGCCGAGGCCTTTGACGCGTCAAGCGGCTTCAAAGTGCATCGCAAGACGATGCCCGACGCAAGGCGCTGTTGGCGACGTCATCGTCGCTTGGTGGGCGAGGTGCTGGCCATTGTTGGTTACCAGCGTGTGCGCGCGCGTGCACGTGTGTCCGACCGGCAGGTGAGCTGTCGGACCTGCTGTTTGTGTTCTTCGACCCCATGGGGCAGGCGCTGTGCAAGCGCACGCTCAACATCGTCGAGCGACTCAACGAGAACCACGGCGAGAAGATCCGCTTCTACCTGAGCAAGGCGGACGAGGCCGGCTCTGAGAGCGACCGCCAGGTCGGGGAAAGGAGGGGAGGAGAGAGAGAGAGACCCGGTCCGTGTTCGGGATGGCTAGGGTTGGGGCGTTTTAAAACTCGTGTCGAGAGACGCACCCAGGCTGGCACTGCTGAGAGCCATGGTATACGGGCACAAATAAAATTAACCTTGCAATTATTAACGTCATAAACACCGTATAATTAAAATAAAATTTTCCGTGATATAAGGCAGGGGACTCGTGACAGAAGTTGTAATTTATTTTATTCTGTAATTAGGGTGATTCATGCGTTTAGCTTGAACCACTTCTCTGCCAATTTTTGATAAAAACATGTTTTATTTTCCATTTTTCCACCAAACATTTGCAGAAACTTCCTCTGCCAGCCATATGAATCATTCCCTTTAGTTTGTCCTACACTGCCGCAGCATTGACATCCATTTAGCTGTTGCTGTTGTGCTCTTGTTTTTGCACGGTGTTGTGCAGTGATTTTTATTTATTATTTTTCTTTCTCCCGTCCTCCAGAGGGTCATGATGCAGATCGTCCAGGAGTTATGCAAGCGGCCCGGCCTTAACAAGTGCGGCTTCGACATGCCCACCATCTACATCCCGAACCCCAACAAGGTGCCGTCCCGTTCACGCCATGCGCGGCGCCACGGTTTTGCCATCGCACAACCCTGGCTCGTGGCCAAAAGGAATAAAACCTCTCGCTGCACCGCTGCAAGCGTGGGGGGGGGGGGGGACGAATGTGCTTTTGACGAAAGCGTTAACGTGGTTTTTCACTCGCTAGTGATCGCAAGTAAATTTGTCATTGTGTATACACTGGAAGTGCTTTGTGGACGCAATGAGAACCGTAAATGGTGATACTTCCATTTTTTTCAAGACGTGCGCCTCCCCGGCTGTGTCCCCTGGGCTGTTATACATGGGTTTTAATGCTCTGTTAATAAGACATAAAAATACTTGAAAGTTACAGTTTGATCTGTTACTGTGTAACCCTCCAAATGAGGTCACTACCACTCCCACATTCCACACATATCAATTGCGCAATGTCAAGAGATTTTTTTTTATAATTGCACTTAGCCGTGACTTTAAATATATTTTTCTTTCCACTCACCATGCTTTAAATTCCTAATCAGGTAGCCCAGCGCGCACACACCCGAGTTAAGTAAAGCAACAGGTATTAACCTGTTGCTTTGCATTGTCCTTGGAGTTGCTTACGTGGGTGCTAATCCTATCGGTTAATTATTTTTTAACCACCCCTCCCCCTGCAAATCTGAATCCCCATAGTCATGATCGTGTAACTTTAAACCCTCGAGCGTAAATGTGATAGTTGTGTAAACTTTTACACCCTGTTTTGAAAGCTGTTGGAAATGTCCAGAAGGTGACTCGGGTTTCGGGCATGCAGGCAGGCTTGGGCCAGCCGCCCAAACGTGGTGCGAGATGTGTGGAATGTTCCACCCGAATCCCAGCGAGCTTCATGCAGAGGACTTTCCCGTCTCCTCGGTGGTCGCTGTAAAATTTAGGTTTTTATATTAATCGACACGAAACTGGTGGCTTAACCATCGTAAAATGCACTTGTCAAGACGTAATTTTTTTCTGCTCTTGCTCAATCCACTGCTGGATGAGTGCCTCCGAGCAATCGCACCTGTCTTGGTGGGTCCTTGACTTATAGTTCATCGTGCTGGTTAGTGAGGGTTGGTGAAGATATAGGGGTTATATAATGGATGTTGCTGCACTGCCCTCTTTCTGCCCGTGACATTTAATCGCAGGTGGTTGTAATTCACATTCAAACCCAGGCTCTCAGCCGTGCCCTCTGATTGCTCTGACATGGTAATAAGCCTGCTGAGTAGGATAAAAGTGTGGCCCTGTCAAAGGATCGGGACCCCCTGCCCCACCCCACGCTCATTCCTTGTGTGTGCGCACATGTGTGCTTCTGTTTACAGCCGTCTATGGGGAGCAGTAGTGCAGTGGTTAGTGCAAAGCGCTACCAACCCGGCAACCCGAGTTCGATTCCCGCTGGGCGTGGTGCTGGCCACCCATCCCCTCGTGCCGTGCTGGCCTTCCATAGTTGCTTGCTAACAGCACTTGCCCGAGCTGTCTGCTAAGGCTCTTTTGTTTTGTGTGCAGCCGAGCCGCTGCGTGAACCAGATCGAGGAGGTGTGCAAATCCATCGAGAAGACCATCAACCAGACGATCCAGAACACGCTCAACACGCTGGAGAAAGACTGCGAGCTCATTGCGAGCACCATCGACCGCAAGCTGCACAACGATCGGTCCGACCGGGGGTGTTCATCAACTCCAACCTGACACTGCAGCCACAGCAATCCATCGCAAACCACTGGAACGATTTATAAAACTGCCACATCAGTCACATTATGCCGCAGCAATCGCAAACTGCCATTGATCTTACGGTCTGCCACAATACGTCTTTCTCGCAAGCTGCGACAGCAATTGGACACCCCCCACTACCCCACTGCATTTGGTACAAACTGCTGTGTCCTTCCTTCGCAGGGAGGCGAGCAAGCACAACCGCACCGCACGCTGCAAGGGTCTGCTTCTCGGAATACTGTCCCTCGCCCTACCCACGATGCTCTTCGCCAATTTCCTGTTGGCCAGCGTTGGGCAGGAAGTGTTGGCATCGGTGCTGGGCCGGGAGACCCTGGATACCGTGCGCGTGGGGCTGGTGCGTGTAACGGACGGCTGACGGCACTTTTTGAAGCGTCGCGTTGCAAGTAACATGTTGGCGCAAGGCTTCGGTAATTAAGAAGTCAAAAAAGTTACACTTGTGACCATGAAACGTAATCTTTTGTCGGCGCGTGTGCGGTGGGTGCGGACGCAGGCGCCATTGGCGGTGATTTGGGATTGGATCCACGAGGAGAACCACACGTTCTTCATTCTGGGTGTCGTCGTGTTCTCGCTCATTCTGTTGTTTATCGCCAAGTATATCTGCAGGTACGGTGATCGCAGGGGTTCTCGCCAATGCTCCTCATCTGTTGCCCTATGCCCATCCATCTGTTCGTTCAGTCTCTCCTTCCATTAGCGGGATAATTTGAGCACGTGATATCCATTTTGCGGTGTAACCCATGCACTTGTCAAAACAAAACAAAAAAATCTCCACGCATCTTCGAGATTGCTGCTTGCGTATCCGGTCGGTTTCTCGAGTGGCAGTGCATGTGACGCACGGCGACCTCTGGGCGACCGGCTGTCGAGTTTGTCGTGCAATGCGCGTGTACGCGTCTCCTCATGTGCTCTCGCGTGTCGTCGTGCAGGTCACAAGTCACCTTCAGCAGTCGCGAGCGACGGCAGTTGGAAGAGAAACGCACGTACGTGCAGACCGTCGTCAAGCAGAAGAAGGTAAAGCATTGAGCGTGTCCTGAAAGTACTGTAAAGTAAAAGAACAGAAATACAAAGAAGATTGAAAAGAACCAAAATTTGTCCTTCCCGAAAATGTAGATATGTGCTGTTACCTCGTACAGTGAGAGCCGTTTCGCTGTTATTTTGACGTTTGGGTTTCTTCCCCATTTCAAAATGTTTCTTACTCTGAGGCTTTGGTGAGGAAAAAAATATTTGTTTATTGAATTGGATGTTAAGGTTCTTGACAAGTTGCGTTGGTTGGATAGTCTTGCAGGTCAGTAGGTTCACAGTTAATTGTGAAAGCATTTGTTTTGAGCTTTATTGATACAAACAGTGTATTTTATTTCAATATAATGGTCACACCTCTCGCCTGTTGTTAAAGTATTACAAGTTATTCCTGTCGTGGGACGTGCGACCAATTCACCTCGACTGCGTCTGATCCATTAAAACTCAGGAGGCTGTGCATTGTATGTAAATGCATGCAAATGTACAGTCATCGTTGAGCTGATTTGGTTCCGAGTGCCGACATGGAGCCAATGCGTCTTCCCCACTCGACAGATGAAGCTGTACGAAGATTACCTCCGGCAGAGCGTCGCAGACCACGACATGGACTGAGGGGGGCGTGTGACATCGCGACCCTAAAGGGACCGCCGCAGCCTCTCACACTACCTCACCGTGACGTCTGCTGGTGTATTTTGCGTGTTCGGATCAAGCTCGTTGCAAGCCCTCCCCCCTCCCCAAGACCCCTCCAGCAGGGTATCATTGGGCAGCTCGAAAAATTCCCCCCCCCCATCCACTTTTTATCTCGTCTTCCCTAGCCATGACAATGCCGTGTGCCACAATTGGACGTGTAGATTTTCATGGCCACATGTAATGCAAGTGAAGATAATGTAACGTTAAAGTTTTGGCGAGATACAACGTATGCACGCAGCAAGATGGTGGGACAACGAATCATTCCACATGCTGTATCCGTACTGCGCAGCTCAAGAAAGCCGTCGTCGGCCGCTCAGAAACCACCTTCCCTGATGGAAGAACTGCGTTATAGCGATAAAGCGTTGTGTGAACACGCATTAAGCGAGGAATTATCGGACCTGGAATGCTGCAATAATGTCTTTTTCGCACAAACACTATTCTTTTATTCGAGTCGCGAGGAAGATTCTGATGTGGTTAGTTGGTGCTCAATGAAGAGATGGCATTTGTGTGCATATGTACGAGATGCACATGGGTGGGTCTAGGGTATGTAGTTCTGGATTTTCACTGCCCGCACACTTTTCTACATCGTATTTGATTCGAAAAATACGCACATTTCTTAGGTAGTGGTTTGTGTGTCGGCGGACTGCCCATTTGTCTGATGGAGACCTGTTTACGTGATTCCGATGGAGAAATGTATGGGTGGATCAACTACGCCAGGCAGGAACATGCGACCATAACACATGCCTTGCCCTAAATGTTTAGTTTTAACACTTATAACTGTCGTAACTGTTTACACTTGTGACGGTATATGAAGTTACGGAACCGTGGCCAAAATGTATTTTTCTCACTAATAATGGTTGACTAACTTTTAAAAAAGTGTTTTTCTTAAAATGAGTGACATGTCGTGATCCTGGATGTTGACTCCAGACATTCCCTGGGAATGCAGTAAGTCTAAGTGCAGCTCTTTCGGTCTATACCAGGTTGAGCCAATTTTCTACGGTGGATTTTTTTGACGTCGCAGGTTGATAGTATTTTTTTAACCTAGTAACTTAATACGTCTGCTGTTTAATACTGACCAGTTGCTGTTAAGCGCGTGGTGTTTGATGGCAGCCACGAATTGAGAAACGGATCTGCACGTTATGAGCATTATGGCGGGACCTCGGGATACCAAGTAATACAAAATGACCGAGGCAATTGAATGTTTTATTTCTGTGACACTATTTTTTCCAAGGGTGTACTTAACTCCGCGACTGGGGCACCAATACATTCGAAAACCGGTGCTACTCCGCGATGTCGAAACGCCAAACGGCATAAAAAAAAATCCGTTATTGAAAAATTCAACTTTGAATGGTGCATCGTGTACAGCACGTCGAGATGAGTCGATTGCCGCATCGCCAACCATCAACAGACTAAAAATGACCGCATCACGGACATGCGAGAGCCGGGGGTTCTGCCATAAAGTTCATATCCTCTCTGCAACGGCCCCCGGATGAACTGTTGATCCGTAATAAAAAAAAACACGCAATCATGTCTGCCGCGTTGTGCTGTATTGTAACCGAGCAGGCTGTGGTAATGTGTCGGAGAGGTCTTTTGAGGGTAGGTGGGCATGTGCTGTTATTCTATTCTGGTGGATGTGTAAGCGAGTGCAGTGATATTTCCCGCGCGGAAAGTTGAGAAATCCACGTATTCGCCGTTTTAAGTAGATTGCAAATGATGAAGTTGGCCAGAAAAAAAAACCGTATAAAAACCCACAATCGGATTGTTCAGAAAGTCTGCTTTTTTTTGTTGCTCCGGAGCAGACCTGATGAAGTGGATGAAAAAGTTGCGTGCGACCAACGGAGGGGGTGGAGGGGGGTGGGGAGGGCAATGTAAAGATACCAAACCTCTTGGTTTCACCAAGACTGCTCCAGTTTCGGAGAGGCCGTCTCTGTATTTGCAAAAGGCGGCATTTTTTTTTTGCCCACCGGTTTAAAATGTTCTGCCATGGAGCGATTGATTCATGATGTCGGCAAACTTTAGGCGTTTCTCAAAGTGTTGTTTTTTTTGGCGGAGTTGGCTGGGCCGCCATCAGAAGTGGCAAGCCCCCCACCCACCCCCCACTTGGTTTTGGCCTGGGATGGCGATTGGGCTCGGCCAACTTCTCGTCCTTGAGGCCGGAGGAAGTGGTCCGTGGAACTGTTTCAGATCCTGTGCTATGTTTTTTCTTCACAGAACGAGACTAGTTGCTGTTTATTGCGTAACTGTTTAGATTTTGTGGCCCAGCAAAAAGTTACAGTAGTTGTTTTTATGGTGCTTGGGGGCCGTCCATAAATGACGTCACGCACCTCGGGGGGGGGAGGGGGGGTCAGACATTTGTGACGATGTGTGACGAGGGGGGGGGGTGAGAAATGTGACGTCACATCAAAAATGCGCAACTTTAAATATGGACAACACGTTCTACTTAAATTTATGATTTAAAGCTTTCGTTACTGCAGGGATTCATATTCTTGGTTCTTTCGGTAAAGTCACGTAGAAGGGAAACAATAAAATAATAAACATTTCAAATTTTCTTGCTGTGGTTTTCACACCTGATGATGATTGCTTGTGTTGCAGTCGAAACGTCGTGAGAATTTTATTGTTTTATATTTTTATTATTTTATTGTTTCCCTTCTACGTGACTTTACCGAAAGAACCAAGTATACGTTCTACTTAATTAAATATACTTTCTTGAATATTTTCTCCTGCAACATCAGAGTGCAGCGCCACATTAAATACGCACTACAATGACAATAGTTTAAAGCGATTTGAAGCATGTTTTATTTGGGGGGGGGGGGCAGAGCTTTGTGACGTCATATTTAAGGGGGGGGTCTGACTTTTTGTGACGCCGTGTGACGAGGGGGGAGGGTGGTATAAAATCGTCCAAAATCGCGTGACGTCATTTATGGACGGCCCCTTATGCTTGTGTGTAATTTGTCATCCGTCGTGATCATTCCGCTGCTGGATGAAGGCACCTCAAACTCAAGCCGGTGCTTACCCACCGCGGTGCAACATTCCACTGAAACGTATTCGCTACTGACTTCTTGACAGCCTCTCGGATGCGTTCCATTCCTGGGCTGCCGCTCCCGCTCGTCATTCTTCACCGACGGTGACGTCACAACTGCGCCTGTGCCAGGCCCGGTGCACTTTGAGGCCACACACCCCCACACCTTTTTTTTTTCCTTTTGACTATCCATTATTGAAAGTCACGAAGCTTGCCTGCTTACGCTCTCGAATCGGCGTCTTCCAATCGTCTTCGTCGTCTCAACAGAACTCCCAAAGCGTGAAATTTTGTCCACGGTTCTTCGCGAAACTTTTTTTTTTTAAAGTTTTGTTCCACCAGAACGTCATGGGACTCCCCCACCCCCTTGGCCAATTGGGGAGGGTTGGTGGGGGGATGGGGGTGTTGAGGTGGGGGGGGGATTGGTGTGGGGATATTGGTGGGGGGAGGTTGGTGGGGGGAGGTTGGTGGGGGGAGGTTGGTGGGGATTTGGTGGGATTAGTGGGGGGGGATTGGTGTGGGGATTGGTGGGGGGAGGTTGGTGGGATTGGTGGGGGGATTGGTGGGGGGATTGGTGGGGGGAGGTTGGTGGGATTGGTGGGGGGTTGTGGTGGGATTGGTGTGGGGATTGGTGGGGGGGATTGGTGGGGGGAGGTTGGTGGGATTGGTGGGGGGATTGGTGGGGGGAGGTTGGTGGTGGGATTGGTGGGGGGATTGGTGGGGCGATTGGTGTGGGGATTGGTGGGATGATTGGTGTGGGATGATTGGTGTGGGGGGATTGGTGTGGGGATTGGTGGGATGATTGGTGTGGGGGGATTGGTGGGGGGAGGTTGGTGGGGATTTGGTGGGATTAGTGGGGGGGATTGGTGGGATTGGTAAGGGGATTGGTGGGGGGAGGTTGGTGGGATTGGTGGGGGGATTGGTGGGATTGGTGGGGGGAGGTTGGTGGGGGGGTTGGTGGTGGGATTGGTGGGGGGATTGGTGTGGGGATTGGTGGGATGATTGGTGTGGGATGATTGGTGTGGGGGGATTGGTGGGATGATTGGTGTGGGGGGATTGGTGGGGGGATTGGTGGGGGGAGGTGCTACCACGCCTCCGCCCTCTCCCCCTGCGCCGTCACCGGCAATGGCCGAGCTTCACGACCAAAACAAACCGAGGCGAATTTACACTTCGACCACATTTTAGAGCAAAAACCGAGTGAACAAAACGGACCGCCATGTCCACCACCAACGTGGCGCCTAACGTCGACTTTGACCACAGCTGCTCGGATTGCGTCGAGTATCTCACGCTGAATTTCGGGCCCTTCGAGACGGTGCATCGCTGGCGGCGCCTGCCGCCCTGTGACGAGTTCGTCGGGGCGAGGTGAGCAGGCGAGGCCGAGGCCCCGTGTCCGGGGTTAGGCCGCACGTAACGTCGCTGCGATTAAATTTATAAACTGCACCGCGGACCTTTTCATTTATTGAACCTAGCTCCTCTGGCTTGCGTGGCCAGATCTTGGGAGATAATGAGTTTGGAGCTCCGTTAACGAGGAAAAACTAAAAAAAGATTTACTGTAAAGCGACATACTGTTATTGGTGTCTGCATTGATATAATCGATGACATCGTTACAGGGGGGGATAATGACAAGGGCGCGCCCGCCCCACCTTAGCGCAAATGAGTGAAGGTGCGAGAATGATTTATTGCAATGATTTGACGCGAGTGCTTTGTGCTTCAGTAATCGTTACGTTTCTTTACGTCCCCTGCCAGGAGGAGCAAACACACCGTGGTCGCCTACAAAGATGCCATCTACGTGTTCGGAGGAGACAATGGGTGAAGTGTTTTTTGTCTTTGCCCCAAATGTTTCTTTATCCCTCCCTTCCCACCACCACCACCTACGCGTCTAAATCTGTCAACGACGAGGGTAAAAACCCCGTCGTGACAGAATACTACAGCAGTCGTGCAGGGCCGGACAACCGTAAGATAAGAGAGAAGCGTTATGCTCTTTGGTTCTGTTTGCCTACGCGACTTTACCCAATAGAACCAGAGAGTATGGATCCTTGCAGTCACGAAAGCTTTAAATCTAGAGAAGCGTTGTACTGGTAGGAACGAAGTTGTAAACTGAGTGTACCAGCCTGCAGTAGATTCATGTGTCCGTCCGTCCCCTTTCAATACTTTAACGAAGTGAAATCTCGTGCTGTTGGGTGTAATAAAATTGCGCAAAATTCCAATGTTCCTACCAGCCCACCCTGCAGGGACCTGTTGGTTTCCCCGCCTGTACCATTCTTGTTAGCCAAGCCCATGGGGCCTCGTCTTGTGTGTGGAAGTGGTTTCCAGAGGCAAACTTTGCGGCGGCGACTACTGCACTGCGCTCTGCCGATGAGTCCTGATGAGATGGAAACCGACTCCACAGTTGTAACATCACTTCGTCACTGCTGCTGTCATTTGCTCAAATTTAGTTTTTTTTGTTCGTGGATAAATGCACTTCCTCCGAAAACTGCTGGCGGGTTTTGCACATGCATCGAGGGTGCGTGCTTATGTACGGCCCTTTTGTCAATCCACTGCTGGATGAGGGCCACCCCACGCGGTGCGGATCGTGGAGGTTATTTCACCAAAACTTCGCTTTGCTTGTCTGTGCTGGTTAAAGACGCGTGGATAGACGGGGAAGCGTGAGAAGTACAGGTGAAGCAGTTTGGCGACACTGCCCTGTGATGCCCACAGCAGGTCTTGTCTTGACCCAATGTCATTTCCCAACCAAAGGCAAAACGTGAGAGTGACTCCCCGCTCAAACGAGCCGAGGGACGGTTCTACACTGCCAGCAATTGCTGGGACATTGCCCGCTCCTACAGTGAGAGAGGCAGTCCATTCATCGGAGGGAAATTATTTGTTGACTTCCTAACCAAAGCGGTGCTCTGCAAACCCGGTGACCTGAGTTTTGATCCCAAGCCACGTCTGAATTGAATGGTGAGTGATATCTGGCCCAGGTCTTTGGGTACCCCTGCCTGGTTGGTTAAATTTGGTCAAATAACCAACATGAATAACACAGTGTGGTGAGGCCTTCACGCGGCAATGGATTTATAGAGGGCCGTAGATTAAGGTATGACGTTTTAATTGCACATGTCATTCCGTTGGTGGGTTAGGGTCCGGGTCACGATTTATTTTTGTCTTTTCATGCAGGAAGAATATGCTCAACGACCTGCTGAGGTTTGATGTAAAGGACTGCTCCTGGGGGAGGTGAGTCTCTTTGGTGTGTTTGTAATGTGACTGCAGTAGTCAGAATCACAAGACAATCCCTATACAGCAGGGGTTGGGAACATCCATCCCTTGACTACATGAGCACTATCATATAGATTATATTTAGCCATTACTGCAAGCCTCTTAGCTGCTCTAATTGGGTACTAATTATTTGGTCATGTTGCACTGACAGTTGAGCACAAGTGCAAATAACACATTTGTAGATAACACTGCCTTAAAATTCCTTTCCCGAGAGCAGACGTGCTAATAAGAAGGATCATTGGCAGAAATGTCGTATAGTATG